CAAAGCATTAGAAAAAATGCTTTGAAAAGTCAAAAAAAAAAAAGATCATAAAGCACCACAGATCATTCAGACAACAAAGGGTGTTGGCAGGAGAAGGCAAACCCTACTTTCAAACCAGAATATTAAAATACAAATTTAAAACTGCCTCTAAGTTAGACATGGACATGGCATTTGAGGATATGCCCTCTAAAAATACTTAGTAAGGCATCTTTGTCTACTCATACCAGAACAAGAAGACAATAGTACCTTCTGGGAAAAGCAAAAAAAAAAAAGAAAAAATGAAGGTGGTGCTTTGGCAATGTGATCAAAGCCCCACTTCTTTGTACAAATGATGATGCATGCCAGGGGTGGGTTCTACTTACTTTTACTACCAGTTCACAGTGGGGCTGCGCGCATGCGCAGAAGCGTTTTAGTGACGTCAGGGTCGGTGGGCGGAGCCTCCCGCCGGTTTTACTACCGGTTCTATAGAACCGGGGGCAACCCACTACTGATGCATACACAAATGTTCAAAAGGGAAGTGGAGTTGTGTTGCTGCAATTACTAACTTGGGTTTTTGTTTTTGTTTTTGAACTCCTTCCATAGATGTCACAGAGGAGACCAAAGAGAAGGAGCCCAAAGAGATTTGCGAGATGACTCATTGGTTGACCTCTACTCAGTTTTCAGAATGTGGGTAGCAGTAGGTACAGAAATCACAAAGTTAATTCAAGAGTAAAATCCTAACATAAACTTTCTAAACTTTTACAAAGTTGATGCTGAACCTTGGCTGGCACACAAAAGCTTCTGAGTCCTGAGTGCTAGAAATATTATCTTCCTATTTCCTCTAGTTATAATGCTGGGAGCCTGGTTTTTCTTTTCTTTTTTCACTTTGCCTGCTACTAGATATTTGGTTTGAACTCTCTGAATTAATCATGAATTGACTTTGCTGTAACTGACTGACCTCCTGCATATCAGGTTTTATTTACTGGCTTACTTTACAGCCAACTCTTAATCAGGTCATTTTTTAAAAAAAGAAAACTACAGTCTAAAATTGCAAGCAAGAGAGAGAAAGGCCACTTCCTCTGGCTAGGGAGATTGTGAAATATTTGTGGAGACAATGGATGATATAACTTTGGCCATGTCTGCTATTGGCTTGATTTTAGATCTGCGTTTCTGTTTCTGTTAGCTTTCATTCTGTATTATCTGCAGCAACCAATGCTGCACTTGGGTTGCAAGAAAGCAGGAACTATAAGACAGCTGACTTCCACGGATTCTTCCTTTCTGTTGTCTGTCTTCCTACTCCTACTATTTTGAAATCTCTGCATTTAGAGATAGACTTTTGAGGTGTGTCAATGGCTGTGGGGAGTTTGAGAGAACAGAGATTGCTTTGCCCTGAGCAGATTATTTACTATAGTGCAAAATCCTCAACTCCAGGTGAAATGGGACGTGTGTCCTAGACCCTCTCAGGCAGGAGGGGTACAACCCCAAGGTCCTAAAGTAACATGATTATCCTAGTGTCCTGAAATAGGATGACCTGAAGAGTATCAGTTGTCTGTGTCAGCTCTAATGTAAGCTAGGTTTTGCTGTATACCCGTTTCCAGTCCACAAGGTCTTGTCTGCATTGGATTCTGTAAATTCCTAATCACAGCCTTTGATCTAAATTATTTTAATTAGTTTTTACCGTTTTTACTACTATAGTTAGTTTCAGCATCTGGTAATCTTCATAGCTGAGCAGCAAAGTGGCTGCATTTGCTGATGATACCTAACAATTCAAGAGGGTAAAATCAAAAATAAGTTGTGCAAAAGTGTCTTTCTACACTGAGTGAAAGGGTTTCAAAGTACAGATAAAGTTCAGAGTAAGTAATTAATTTAATTTTAATTTTTAATTTTTTAAATTTTTTTATTTTTATATGCCGCCCTTCTCCAGAGACTCAGGGCAGCTTACAATGCGTTAAGCAATAGCCTTCATACTTTTGTATATTTTACAAAGTCAGTTTATTGACCCCACAAACCGGATCCTCATTTTACCCACCTTAGAAAGGATGGAAGGCTGAGTCGACCTTGAGCCTGGTGAGATTCGAACTTACAGTAATTGCAGACAGCTGGATGTTGAATGCTGCCTTAGTAGGAGGCATTAGCCTCTTACGCCACTCAGGCTCCTTAAGTAAAATGCAAAATCATGCATGCTGGCATCAACATCTGTTTTTCAAACATCAGTGAATGGTATTTGAGCCTATAGTGGCTAGCTAGGAAAGAAATTGTGGAGTCATGGTGAAAATGTTAAAGCATTGGATTTTCACTGGGTAATCCTAAATACTAGTCTACCATCAGCCACAGAAATTCACTGTGATGGGCCAGCAGTCTCTGAGCCCAACATATAATATATCACAGAACTGACTTTTATAGGAAAAAAAAATCAGAGAACAGAGTATTATAAATGCTTTAATGTGTTCCAGAACAAAAGATGGAACATAAATCTAACAAATAAACCCATAGTCAAAAATCAAATCACTTCATCCAGATCACTAATAAAAATGTTGAATAAGGCCCAGAATAAGGTCTATGGCATTCCACCCAATACTACTAATATAAAGCCCTTTATAAATACTTTCTGAAGGTAGTCATTCAGCCACTTAATTCATTTAATCATCTAGCCTATATTTTATCAGTTTATTAATGAATTTATCAATTCCGACTGTGTTGAATGCTTTCCTGAGGTTAACATACAGTACACCATATCCATGGCATTCCCCATATCTATTAAGTTAGTTATCAAAAAAGGAGTTGTCCAGCTTTGACTGATATGCCAGTTACAGGCCTTTTTGGATCAAGATTCCCTTGACAATAGTAATTCATTTCCTTGTCACTTCATAGGTAATGCAATGTAGATGATACATGAAGACAAAACTGGAAGCATCAAGGTCTATAGAATACAGGACTATCTGCTAACTGAAGAGAACAGATTTAGCAGTATTACACGTATTGGGTCAGCCCTTCAAAACTGGCCAGATCAGGAAAAAAAAAACCAGAAGTCTCTTGATATCTCAGGGTGTACTTTAATGCCTTTAAGGTACAAAAATAAAATCTCAAAGGCCAGTCAATGCCCCTCATTACGTATATCAAACAAAATCAAGGCAGAGTTCTTCTGAGTTTCTTTCTTACACTTTCTACTTTCCCAAGGTTCTGATAGCTTTTCTGTAAAAGCTCAGCTTTCTCTCCTCCCTTCTCAGAGTCAAATCCAGTTTTTATCATACTATCTTGCCTCTGCCTCCACCCCATAGGTGGGTTTCAGCAAGTTCTGACCAGTTCTGGAGAACTGGTAGCAGAAATTTTGAGTAGTTTGGAGAACGGGTAGTAAAAATTCTGACTGGCCCCACCGCCATCTATTCTCTGCCTCCCAATTCCCAGCTGATTGGGAGGAAATGGGGATTTTTCAGTAATCTTCCCCTGGATTGGGGAGGGAATGGAGATTTTACAGTATCCTTCCCTTGGAGTGGGGTGGGAATGGAGATTTTACAGTATCCTTCCCCTGCCACGCCCACCAAGCCACACCCATCAAGCCATGGCACGCCCACCAAGCCACACCCACAGAATAGGTAGTAAAAAAAATTGAAACCCACCACTGCCCCCCCATGCTCCCCCCTCACATTTGTCTCCAAGAATGGGTAAGGCAACTTGTCAAGATCAATCGACAAGTCTGAAATGAAAGATTTAGGCAAAGCTAGAATATGCTTTTTTTTCCCCCCTATCTTGTCTGACAACAACAATGGGGAAACATTTATGGCAGGAAGCAGGTTGTCACTGTCTGACAAATCTGAAGACAGTTCAGGGGATGGGTCTTGCTTTGGTATTTCAGAAGAAACTGATGGGCAAGCTGTAGCACATGGATGCTCTGCAGGGAGAGGGATGTCATATTCTAGAGCCAAAAGGCAAGATCCAAAGTCTCTCTGAGGAGAGAGTAAAAAGGCTTTCAGGAATCTTGTCACCTTTCAAGGTCAGGACAAGGATGTGCTAGCTAGGAGCTTTCCTACATGCTTTAAAGCAATTGAAGTATTGTAACAGAATCTTGAAAGCCTGCCAAAACCCCCATTTATTTCAGTTTATGCTTTCCCAGGACTCATATATATAGATTTATTTATTTTTTTTGTAATTGCTTGGCACCCCCCCCCCCGAGCCCACATATCATCACAAGTTATTTGCATTGGTTATTGCTTTGTGTCTAGCTTCAATTCAATATGCTGATTGCCCCTTTAAAATTTGATACAAGGGGACTATATTTGCCACAGATTCAAGCCATCCCATGCAAGCTATGAGAGGTGAGTGGCTGAATATACCTTCTCATTGACTGCACCTGCTCTTTGGACCAACCTTCCTACTGTGATAAAGAAGCTCCAACTTTCTGGCTTTCCAAAAAGCCTTGTTGTTATATGGGTGCTGAAAGTCTAAGAGCTGCCTAGGATTCATTAGATTAGGTCAACTGCAATATTGTTTGCATTGGCTTGTTTTATTTTTTACCGTAACTCACCTCAAGATCTCAGGAAATGGATTAGTGGTTAATAACTGTGTTTGTGTGTGTGTGTGTGTGTGTGTATGAGGGGTGGGTTCTACTTACCTTTACTACCGGTTTGCATTGCGCCCGCAAGCACGCACTTCGCTTGCTCTGTTCTGCGCATGCACAGATCACCTATGATGACATCCGGATCAGTGGGCGGAGCCTCCTGCCAGTTTTACTACCGGTTCTTGCGAACCGGTCCAAACTGGGGGCAACCCACCACTGGTGTGTGTGTATGGAGAGAGGGGGGGAGGGAGGGAGGGAGGAAGAGAGAGAGAGAGAGAGAATTTTTAAAAAAGGAATGAAAGAGACATGTTTTCTTGTAAATAAACCATTCTTGGATTATTATTTTCAAGTCACTCACTATAACTCCAGGAACTTCCATCAGCCAATATTGTCACTCTCTCTCTATTCACTGAAGTCTTTGGTACCATTTAATTTTTTGTTTTCATACTGTTGTTCTCTGTTGCAGATGTTGCTTTAACTAAATCAGATGAGAAAGACTCATCTTTCCCCTATGTACCTCCAGAAAGGAACTGGATTCTTTCTTCTGGTCATTCTTCCCATCCAGGTACTTTACTCTTTCTTCTTTAAAACATTTCCATCAAATTGCGCAGTTTGCTTTTCTTTTGCTGTGCATGCAGTTCTCTTCTTTCCAATGAAGAGCTCAGCTGGTATTGGTCTTTTGTTACAGTTTATGTTTTAAACAGCCTTGGTGAACCATTCAGATTATTGCCCTCTCTTATTCTTATCTAGGGAATCTAAAGAATTCAATAATTTTCAACAACCTCTCATCTACCTTAAGGATCCTAAGAAGACATACAAGTGCTACTGCTATAGACCTTTAAGGTTTAGGGAAGAGGTGAATGAAAAATGAGTAAACTGAATAAATATTTTAAGCTAGTGCTGACTTTCAGTGTGCATACAACTGATAGGGATGTAGATTTTGATGTAAGGTTAAATGAATGTACATTAAATCTAGCCTGAGGATGATAAGAGATATAATCTGTTACGTAGTTAGTGCATTAGTTCTCATTTAAACCAAGCCTTCAGAAAAATGATATTTATTTCATTCACGAATAAAGTTCAGGAATGTGGAAAAAAATGTGGAAAAGCTCAAAACAGACATTTTAAAGCATTCTGAGCTTGAAACAAAACATGTCTGTTTTAAGACTTTGTACAAGATTGAGACAAAACCTGGCTGTTTTGAGCAGTCATGGAATACTATCTTGAAATAGTCCATTCAAACCATCAAACCATTCAGATCTCAAAATGGATTTTTTAAATGCTCCCAAGGTTAAAACAAAATGTTAGCATTGAAAGGGTTTTATTTCAAAGATAGAAGAAAATACCGAGCCATTCTAAGTGTTGTTGCAATGGAACATAGTCAACTTGATGTTTCAAGGAAGTATTTTTAGCAGACCTGTTTCGGACTTTTTTTCTTTTCATGTACATGTTGGATAAGATCAGTCTTGTCTGACATCTTCTTTCAGTTGTAGCAAGCCAAATGCTTCCAAGAACCCAGAAGCACGACAACAAATAGCAATAGTATTTAGACTTATATACTACCCAACAGCATTCTCTGGGTAGTTTACAATGTATTTGTATATTGCCCCCAACAATCTGGGTCTTCATTTTACCAACCTCAGAAGGATGGAAGACTGAATCAACCATGAAATCCGTCAGGATCGAACTCCAGACTGTGGGTAGAGTTGGCCTGAAATACTGCACTTGAACCACTGCACCACCAGCAGTGATTACCCTCTATTTGTTCCATAGCAATTGGGCATGCTCTTTTCATTTTAAAGAGTGTTTTCCAGATACATTTGACAGCATGTTCCATCGATAAATTCCAAAATGTATGAAGAAATATTTGTAAATAAACTTTCAAAAACTGTAGAAAAATATATTTTGTTCTCAACTATTCTTGAGCCTAAGGAGTGATGTATTGGCAGTGTTAATCTTTAGATCAAGTTATTCAATAAATATTTAATCCTAATAAAGTCTTATTTATTTTCTTCAGCAACTGTTTCTCAAGAAAGGAACTGGACAAGACAAGCAGGTAGTTAATAGTACCATGTTTCCCCGAAAATAAGACTCTGTCTTATATTTTTTTGAACCCTGAAATAAGTGCTTGGCCTTATTGCCATGTGCTCAAAAGCCCAATTGGCCTTATTATCAAGGGATGTCTTATTTTGGGGGAAACAGTTTAGTAGTAATACTACTACCATATTTTTCGGAGTATAAGACGCACCCGAGTATAAGACACAGGTTAGTTTTTGGGGAGGAAAATAGGAAAGAAAAATCTGCCTACCAGGTATTCATCTGGCTAGCATCCTTCGTCTGGTCAGCTCCAGCACATTATTTTGCTGGTTTTTTATCCCCTGCTTGGGGATAAAAAACAGCTTCTAAGACAGAGCTGAGAGGAAGCAGCAATGAGAAAAGCAGGCAAAGCACGGGGGAGATCGCTTCACTCGGCTAGTGCCTAGTTAGGGCTGAAAAAAAGCTTCAGAAAAAGCTACATTCGGAGTATAAAACACACCCAAATTTTCAGCCTCTTTTGGGGGGGAAAGGTGCGTCTTATACTCCGAAAAATACGGTAATCTTGTAATCATTTCTCTTTAGTATATGTTTTCTGTGTGCTTTCCCTGTGTTCTTGTATTTTTATAAAGAACCTGATAAATTCAACCATGCAGCTGTAGAGAAAAAAAAAATTCTTACCCCAAATATTTGTTACTCCAAATTAATTCAGCTGAGTGGAAAACACATCCTATGTAATACAAAACATTTTTTTAATCAAGTATTATTTGGAGAAGTTTGTTTTTGTTTCAAGCCAGAACCCATATGACATGCATTCTTCACATAACATGCACTACAAACTGAAGAGAAGGTACATGTTTTATTTAATTATTTCATGCCTACATGTCACTGAGGCTTGAAATGCTTTAGAAGGAAAAAGATTTGGGAGTTGGAATGTGAATGATCAATTTGCAAATACAGCCAATTCCTCAAGCCCCCCTCCTCTTCAGGGTACTTTTCCTTCATGTCACATAATCTGGATAAGACTGGAATAGTACAGACATAATAATGCAAAGTGTGTATTTTAAACTACTGAAGGATATATGGATGTAAAAATAATGGGAATGAGGCAAATATGCCTTTTTTTGCTTGGGGCTAACAGCGCTCAGATAACAAAACATATTTTTGAAAAGAAAACATGTCCTAGTTTAAAGTAAAATATCCAGTGTCTTATAATCAATTTTTTAAAATAATTTTTAGACTGTGGTACATTTAGGAGCCATCAGCTTTGCTTTGTTCAATTTTTGCAGACCCACATACAAGGAAAACATTATTTAAGTGTGGACAGCTATGAAAAGGTCTCCAAACTTGTAAACTTGGTGCAGCTGTTCTGTGTGCCTCAGAAAAAAATTTGAATGTGTAGAACAGGGCTGTCAAAGTCCCGGCCCGCGGGCCAGATGTGTCACATGCTGGCCATGCCTACACCTGGTTTAGTGAAGGGGAAAAAGTCCCAATACTTCATGTGACGCGGCCATGACGATGTGAGTTTGACACCCCTGGTGTAGAAGCTAGGAATAAGAAATCTTACTAAATTCTTGGAAGGCCTGCTCTATTTGTGACATTGAATGTATTGGTTTTTAATGAAGAAAATGGTGACCAAACATACACATTTAACTAATAAATATTTCAGTAGTAAAAGAATGCTCAAACATATCCAGTGGCTGGCTAATTGTATGCAGAGGCATAGAATTTCAAATTGGTGCTCATTATCTCGTTTTTGAGATATTAGATTTTTTAATTGTTTAATGGGTTTTAGTCATAAGGTTCTTAATTTTCGGCCAAAAGGTATAATTCTTTTAAATTTTTAAATTTTGTATTGGATGTTTTTTACTTGGCTGTGCACCACCCTGAGTCCACCAGGAGAAGGGCGGTATACAAATTTAAATAAAAATAAAAAAAATAAAAATAAAAAAATTATCAGAATCAGAATAGAGCTGGAGGGACTTTGGAGGTCTTCTAGTCCAACCCACTGCTTGAGCACAGGAGACCCTGTACCATTTCAGACTCTTCTTTAAAACCTCCAGTGATGAAGAACTCGCAACTTCTGAAGCCATTCCACTGGTTAATTGTTCTCACTGTTAAGAAGTTTCACCTTAGTTCTAGGTTGTTTCTCTCCTTGATTAGTTTCCATCCATTGATTTTTGTCTTGCCTTCTAGTGCTTTGGAAAATAAGTTGTCCGTAGTCCTTCTTTTCTATAGACTAGACAAACCCAATTCCTGCAACTGTTTGTCACATGTTTTAGTCTCCAGGCCCTTCATCATCTTAGTTGCTCTTCTATCATTTATGGCTTTCAGAATTTTGCTTAGTTACATTTTTAATTACAGAACAGGCTGTCACCTCTGAACAACTGCTGGGTGGAGCAAAGCGTTCTCCTAGTTTTACTGAAGTAGCCAATGTAAATTGGAGTCTGAATAACGTCAGAGGGGATGTACAGCCAAATGAAAAGAATGCTTAAGGTGCTCTTGTGTCACAGGCTAAATCAATTTTATGAGTGAAGCAATAAGTAAACATGCTAGTAAATTGAATATTTGTTCAGTCATCATTCTTCTCCATTTGATAGGTTTCATGCAAATTAGACAGAAATGTATGTATAAATTAGTGTGTGTTTTCTTTTTCTTATTAAAGGAGACATTCTGAAAAGCATAACTGTTAGATGAGAAAGTTTTGAAATGGTAGCTAATCAGCACCACAGACAACTTAGCTCTTTTTTAAGCTTGCAAAACTTAATTTCCTGCATTCTTAAAATTGATCCTAAAGAGGAATACTCCATCAGAACATTGCTGAAATGAATGGCGTACTGTTATAACTGCTCCATATCAGTGGTGGATTTCAAATTTTTTTACTACCAGTTCTGTGGGTGTGGCTTAGTGGGCATGGCGTGGCTTGGTAGGCGTGGCTTGTGACTATGGTAGAGGAAGGATACTGTAAAATCTCCATTCCCACCCCACTCCAGGGGAAGGATATTGTAAAATCTCCATCCCCCACAATCCAGGGGAAGGTTATTGCAAAATCCCCATTTCCTCCTGATCAGCTGGGACTCGGGAGGCAGAGAATAGATGGGGGTGGGGCCAGTCAGAATTTTTACTACTGGTTCTCCGAACTATTCAAAATTTCCGCTAACAGTTCTCCAGAACTGGTCAGAACCTGCTGAAACCTACCTCTGCTCCATATGACACGTCTTTTTCTTTGAATCAGTGACCAACTACTAAAATGCATTCAGAAAAAAATATGAGTTAATATCCTCTGTAGATAGCTCAAGCACGCTGTGGTATTCATCCAATCAGCAAAGTCAGGACTTTGTCAGTAACAGCTGTGCAACAGTTAATTTTACATCACTTCTTTACTGTTATTAAAATATAGTGGGAAATAATCTGGGACAAAGGATATCTTCTATTTTATGTTTGCATATAGCCAGATGTGTTGTGTTGTGTCTGATAAAAAATAAATGTAACTCATTTATTAAAGTTGGTATCATTGATTATAGTAATATCTTGATTGATTGGCTGGTTGGTTGATTGCCATTAATGATTTTTTTGTCTCTTTTATAATAGAAACTCCATGTAATTTTGGATGGAACTGTTCTTGGATTATGTCTGCTAATAGCTTTGGACAACCTGACTGGCTACTATCTTCAGTTGTTGCTCTGACTTCTCAAGAAGATCAACACATTATGGACATAAGCTCATCCAACAGAGATCTGGAAGGTTATAAATTTTTGCTCCATCTTTATATTTGTGGTTAATTACCTGTCTGCCTAGAGAGCTTCCTTTCCCAGTTGGATTTACTACTGTATGGTACCCAACACAGTGGTGAAATCCAAATTTTTTTACTACCGGTTCTGTGGGCGTAGCATGGTGGGCGTGGTGTGGCTTGGTGGGTGTGGCAGGTGAAGGATACTGCAAAATCCCCATTCCCTCCCCACTCCTTGGGGAAGGATATTGCAAAACCTCCATTCCCACCCCACTCTGGGGCCAGCCAGAGGTGGTATTTGCCGGTTCTCTGAACTGCTCAAAATTTCCGCTACCGGTTCTCCAGAACCTGTCAGAACCTGCTGGATTTCACCCCTGCCAACACTGCTGAAGCAAACAAGAATGGCTGTCATGAATGAAGGCAAATATATATGTCTCAGGACAATGTTGCAGGATCCAATCTGGGTTGGTCACCGGGAACAGAGGTTTTGTCTTCTGAGCTTTCAAACTCATGCTGGAGCCCATCCACAAGAAACTTCTCTCTGCTAGAGAACTTCTCTCAGCCAGCCGACAGGGAACCACAGCAGGGAGACAAAAGAGCTTCATTTATCTGGGAGCCTGAAAGGACTCTTGATTTAAATCATATGGTAAAAAGCACCCAAAGAAGAAAGAACAACATCAGCAAAAGAAACCCAAAGAAACCCAACCCTCGCCTGTTTTTGGAAATGGTTCAAGGGGGAACAAGCATGCATTCATGCACACACGTACACAAACGAGAGAGGGAGAAAGAGAGAGGGAGAAAGAGAAAGATGAGAGAAAGAGAGATGAAAGACAGAGAGGGCTGCCTCCTGTTTCCTGCTGCAGTCGGGCAGCGAAAGAGAGAGAGATTCAGCTCTGTCTGCTCCCCTCGAGGCAACCTCGTGGCGCTGTGCTGTATCAGCCTGACAGTCACTCCTTTTGCAACACAAGGTTTATTTCCAGAGACAGAAAGAATGTGGCCAAATTTCCTTACAGTTATTCCCTGGGGCTGGGGGGTGGGGAGTGAGGGTGGGGAGTGGGGGAGAGGAGGGAGGAAGAGATAGAGAGAGAGAAAGAAAGAAAGAAAGAAAGAAAGAGAGAGAGAGGGAGAGAGAGAGAGAGAGAGAGAGAGAGAAAGAGAGAGAGAGAGAGAGAGAGAGAAAGAAAGAGGAAGCAATTTTTTGATTTCACCACTGGTTTGTACGGAGGATTGGTGGGGGGTGGGAATGCGCAGCCCTCCGGGATGGAGAGCGGGTCAAGAGAAGGCTCCAATGTTCACTTGGGTGGTGGAGGAAAACTCAAAGTGTTGGGGGCTTCAGAAAGGGCAGGATGTGCTTCAAAATGTTCTAACAGTGAGTGATGTCAAGTTGGCCACGCCCACTTGGTCACATGACCACCATCAAGCCATGCCCACAGAACCGGTAGCAAACATTTTGACATTTCAGCCTTGCCCCCACACATATTGAAGTGTTTGAAATGTTAACTTGGTATATCAGCCATTATTTCTGCTTGCTCCTAACCCGTCATAGGAATGCCACAGCTCCATGACAGAGCATGTGCATTAAATATTATTGGGCACCAGCTAAGGCTGGAAGTACTGCTATTTGAAAGGGAGCTGCTAGGAAGCTGCTGTCAATCAAACTAGACCACTCTACCCTGACCTGATAACTTGTAGAACCACTATTCTCCATTTGATGTCCACCAGCCTCCATCACTGCAGGTCAATTACATCTGATTAAGAAATGATAGATTAGTTTACTATTGAACTAGATGGACTAATCATCTAACTTCAACATTTATAGTTGGGTGTAAACCCCTTATATGACTTTTCCATGAAATAGAAAAAAAAAACCCCACAGCTATGATTTATGATTTTCATTATAAAAAAAACCTGGAAAATAGAAAAAGGAAGCTTTTTCTAAACATAGACTAAGAGATAATTTTGTAATTGTACTTATATTTGCCGCAAAGGAAATCAGAAGCATCTTTTTGTTTTTAAGTCTTTCTTTCTGCATTGTTTATTTCTTGCTTCTATTTTAGTTTGTATTAGTTTTTACATGCTTTGTAAAACTTTTAATAAAAGATTATTTAAAAAAAGAAATAGATTAATGATCTCAGTGTAAAGCAATCTCCCTTGTTTCCCTGCAGAGGATTGAGAACTGAAAAAAGACACTCTTATGGTGTGTGTTTTTATGCAGCCAGAAGCTACAGTATATGGAGACTAGCTTCCTAGAGAACAGTTGTTTATCTATCTACTGTGCAGAAAATCAAAGGAGGAAAGGAAGATTAATGTTGTTGTGTTGCTGAAATGAGATTGGGAATGATTTTACTCCATATCCTCTGAAATTCAATGTGACAAAACATTGATGTCTCCAGGCATTCGAAGATACCTTATTAAGATTTTTCAAGAAACCATTAAAGGAGGCCATTTGTTGATTTGAGGTCCAATATCATCAATACAGGGATGATACCCAGCTTTGTGTTTTGATCCATGGACAGCCAAGGGATGTCATCAATGATCTGCCCCAATGGCCAGAAGCCATGCAGGTCTGAATGGGGAGGAACAGATTCAGACTTAATCCTCAAATTAAGAAGCTTTGGATTTTTGCCCCACCTCCATCATCCCCACACACAAAATCTGACATCTTTCTATTTTTAGGCTTAATGGGATTGCACTTCTCCATTTAAATCTTGAGTGCTGTCTAGGGTTTGTCTTGAACTGATAGCTCCTACTCATGCTCTAGTCACTTCACAGTTGGATGTGCAATGTATTCAACATGAGGCTGCCCTTGAAGACTACAGAACCTACAGCTGGTCCCAAAGACAGCACTGCCGGCAATGCTGAGTATATTTTGATGTATCCATGTGCACCTATTGCTTTAAGAGCTACAATGGGATTTCAAGGGCAGTATTCATCTATAAAACTTCTCATTGCGCAAAACCAGGTTGTTTGAGTCATGTATTTGCCATGGTGCTCTCATTCAGCAGAGTTTATGCACTTTGGGTCCTTTCAGTTAAACAACGCCACCTGTTTGGACCCAGTAATTGTGCCTTTTCTATTGTGATAATATCCCTTCAAAGATCCACATATCTCCCACCCCAATGGTGTTTCACACACCTCTTAAAATGTGGCTGTTCTTCCAAGCCTTGGATAGAGAGGTTGTGAAATCTCTGCAAATTGTATTTTTTGGTCTGTGGAATGTGAACCCTCATGCCAGTGGTGAAATATATTTTTTTTTACTACTGGTTCTGTGGGCGTAGCTTGGTGAGCAGGGCAGGGGAAGAATACTGCAAAATCTCCATTGCCACCCCACTTCAGCGGTAGGATACTGCAAAATCCCCATTCCCTCCCCACTCCTGGGGGAAGAATATTTCAAACTCTCCATTCCCACCCCACTCTGGGACCAGCAGAGGTGATATTTGCCAGTTCTCCGGAGCACTCAAAATTTCCGTTACTGGTTCTCCAGAACTTCTCAAAATTTCCACTACCAGTTCTCCAGAACCTGTCAGAACCTGCTGGATTTCACCCCTGCCTCATACATAATCTTTTTTTCTTCTTACTGCTTTCCATTTTTAAGTGTAAGTTGCCCAGACTAATTCTGGAGACAAAAAGCCTCTAAATTCAGTCTGTCTGTCTGTCTGTCTGTCTGTCTGTCTGTCTGTCTGTCTGTCTGTCTGTCTGTCAGTCAGTCAGTCATTCAGTCAGTCAGTCAGTCAGTCAGTCAGTCAGTCAGTCAATAATCAATCAATCAAAGTTCTTTGCAGGCATACGTTTGTTGTATGTGGGGGAGGGGGAGAGAGTAGTGTATGTATATATAACTTTTGTCCTGGTTTCATTTGTTACATATGATGACCATGAAATCATAAATCTAAGTTAAATGGTTTCTCTCAACTCTCTTCTGTGAAAGGGCAGTCAGTTGTAGGGGACAACCATTCCTTTCTGATCATGTCAGTATTTCATCAAGGCCAGAAAAACTCTTTCAGACAATTGCAAAATCTATCTTTGTTTTAGAGGAAACAGATAATCATTATTCATCTGGATAAAATTTTGGTCCTGCAAGATTTCCTCCCATTTTCATATAACTTTCTATTTCATTTAAATGTGTTTGTCCCAAGGATTTACATAGAAACGAGACTTCATAAATATATATATATATATATATATATTTGGCTTCATTTCAGTCATAGAGCAGAATACTTGAAGAACAGTTTGATAAATATAGGGAACCCTATGGTCACAAACTATGGATATATATAAATCTCATTGAAGGGAGTTATTTTTGAATGAGTATGGATAAAATCTGACTATATCTTTGAGAACATTTGCCATAGACTATGTAGGTCTTTACAGAAAGATCAATGTGTGATTTAAATTCTATTTTTCTCAATTATTTCCAGCTTCTTTATTCTTCTCTTCAATAATTTAATTCATATTTTTATTGAAGCTATTTTCTCAATCTGTCACTATTTCTCCATATATTTCTAATTTCTCTTATTATTTTTCTTTGCTCTTAATGTATTTTCTCCCCAACCTTTTCTTTCCCTGTAGGGGATATTCTTCTCCTGAACCCTAGCAGGATCTCGGATAGATGCACATTCAGCCTCCACAGTCCAATCCTGCCATGGAGCTCCAGTTCATGTCTGTTGGAGCTAGCAGTATATTCACAGGGCCTCAGTCTTGCAGGACTCTCTGCTGAAGTGCACTATGTGGACACAAACCAAAGTAAAGCTGTTCATCTGCAAGAAGGACATGAGGAGGATGCCTGGTGAGTTTTGTTCTTGATTAGAGACTTGGAAGATGCACATTAAACACTAACCAGGAAACCTGCACTCTGAGCCACAAATAATTTAAGGAAAACTGATGAGACACAGCAGGTTATGTAACTTGAAAGCCATTTATTCTATCATCTAATGTTAAGAACTAAGCACTGAGAATATTAGTTTTTTAAAAAAAAAAAATCTCTGAATGGAAGGTCCCAGTTGAACCAAAATTAAGAAATCTTCCCAAATCTAGGACAAACACTTGAGTTTGCAACTCCAAACCTAATGACCCTTGTCCTTTTGCTAAGCGTTCAAATCCTTCACTAAAGGATTTTCTCTAAATATTTAGAGAAATATTTTGTTTTCTCTTGCAAAGTATTAGTTTTCCCTAGCAAAAAGGCCAGGGAATTTCTAGAAGCTTGGCACTCTGAAAAATTAGTCATCAATAGGCACATAGACATAAACAATATCTACATAGCAGGGGTAAAATGCTACCAGTTCGGTCCAGTTCGCCCAAACCGGTAGTAAAAAATGCTAATGGTTCACTGAACCGGTAGTAAAAAAAAAAATTCCAAAGATCAGCTGAGCAACGCATGATCGTCGGAACTTCTCCTCCCCACACACACACTTTTTAAAGCATTTTTAACTACTGGTTCTGGAGAACAGGTAGTAAAAAAAGCTTAAAAAGTAAAAAAAAAAAGTTTCAACAATCGTGCGTTGCTCAGCTGATTTTTGGAACTTTTAAAAACTTTTTAAGCATTTGTTACTACCGGTTCTCCGAAACCAGTAGTTAAAAATGCTTTTAAAAAGTAAAAAAAAAAAAGGTTCTGATGATTGCGTGACACAGCTATGATCACCGGAACTTTTTTTTACCTTTTTAAAGCATTTTTTTAACAGCAGTTCTGGAGAACCGGTAGTAAAAAATGCTTTTAAAAAGTTTTTTAAAAGGTTCCCAAGCTCGCACGCCACAGTTGATTCCCCCCTCCAGCTGTTCTACTTACCCTCCCAAGCCTCCTTTTGGCACGTACTGTGTACGCGCGCACACAGCATGTGTTTGGTGCACACTATGCTTGCACGTGTGCAGTGCACGCTTGGCGCACAGCATGCATGTGCAGCCAGTGAAGCGGTAGCAAACCGGTTCAGATTTCCCCACTGCTGCATAGTATGCAAAAGAGACAATCAACTAGTCAAAAAGGGAACAAAAATACCAAAATGCCTCCCTACCAGCAATCAGAAGCCAGATGAACATAGATTAACTATAAATTTAACTTCAGACCAACAATCAAATAAATAATACCCCAATCAAGGAACTTCCAAACAAGCTAATAGTTGTTGTGGCCCGCCAGCGGCCTGCACGGATGGTGGCTGATCCCGATGAAGAGGGGGCTGGTGTGGTGTCGCGCCAGCAGCCTGCACAGCCAGCGCTCGCGTCGGACAGCGAGGAGGCTGAAGAGGATGTGATGCCAGAGGCAGAGACTCAGCCAGGGCCTTCAGAACCTCCAGAGGCTCCTTCCAGTGGAGAGAGCGAAGTGGAGGAGCCTCTCCTCAATGCTCGGGCACGCAGGGCTGCCAAAAGGCAGGAGTGGCTACTCAGGAGGAGGTCTACTCGAGAGTAGGGCTTGAGGATAATTGGCCACTCCCTTAGCCTATTTAAGTCGCATGCAGCTAGTGCTTTCTTGCTAGAAACAACGTCTCATTACTACAGAGCATCTTGGAGAGGGAGCAATTTCTCATATCTGGTTTTCTGGGCTGGTTGCCAACCTTTGTCGGACTTCGTTCTTAATAACTTTGATAAGGACCTTTTGCATGGGAAGCCTGCATTCTTGAAAGGGGTTTGTTTGGAATTAAACAGTGTTTGCGAAGCTTGGTGTGTGTCACATTCTCTGGGAATCTGAAGCTGGGGCAGAACAATAGTAAACAGCCCAACCAAAGAACCACTAAGACCAGCCCCAGCAATACTGACAGAGCAAGCAAACGCTAGTCCTTACTATCACTGATGATGTTACCTAGATTGGATTATGAAACATCTACATGAAAACAACCAAGCTCAAAGAGCACCAAGGACCCCTCATTTCAACCCTGAGTTACAAATATTCTCCTTTATTTTTCTCTGTTTATGTTATTAGTATTGAAATAACATCTAGCTACTTAGATGTTTCTTTGGTATATGCTGTAAGCTGTGTGACTATACAGGTATGTCACACAAGCCAAACATCTTGAGAGGCATCAAAATAATTTGGTTCTGGTATAATTCACTGTGTTGCATCCTTGAGAAGTTAAACTGAAGCTGTTCTATAGAATAACTGTTTTTAAAATGTTATGGAAGAGGAATGAGTTTTGTTGGAGAAGATTGAGACTGATCTGAAAGTGAATTGAATAATTACCAACTACAAGAGTAATACAGAAAAAGATGATACACCGGACATATAAAAGACACCAGCTGAGTTGTTAATAATTGAAGGGGCTGTATATTTTATTTATTTTTCACATTTCTGAACTTCCCTCAAAGATGTATACAAATAACAAGCCAAGAGACTGACCTAGAGAAAAGAATGAAACAATCAACAAAATCTTTGAAAGAATAAAGTTCACTTGAGAAGAAGAAAACAACAACACACTACCATTCTGGATATCCTCATCAGCAAATAGCAGGAAGTTAGCAACACATCTATTGTAAAATCATCCACTCTAACCAAGTGCTTCACTACTAAAGGCACAGAGCAAACCTCACTCACTTCCAACACTGAAGATGTTTTCTAGTTGGGTAATGAAACATTTGCAAGGAAACAACCAATTTCAGAGAGCACCAAGGGCTCCACAGTTCAATCCTGAACTAAAATTATTCTCCTGTATTGGCAATGCTCACTAATCTTTTTAAAGTTAAAAACATGGTCAAAGGGGTGAGTGATTTTTTTTTTTTTTTGCACCATCTTGCATCCTCATGATGCCTCACAAAATGCGCTGGTTTCCCCTTAAAAATGATATAGATGCAGGTTTATGTAAACAGACCTATCCTATAGAGCTCCACAATAAATATTTTGTTTCAGACCCTTCATGTCTTCCTGAGGAAGACGCTTTCTCAGCAGAAAACTCTCAAATACAAATACAAGACTCGTTCTTGAAGGCAAGAATGAAGCAAACAGATCATCATCCATCTGCATTGTAAAGAAGTATTTTTATAAGCCTTGCTTTAGTGTTGCAGTCTTTTTCCTCCCAAGTGACTGATTGACATTTGACTTGGTAGCCATGTGGAGCTCAGACATAATGGGTACATTATTGTTCTTTCTCACTTGGAAACCACAGGTTACCATACCTGATCAGCACAAACTATTCTTTTCTTCCTTCTGTCTGTCTATCTGTCCATCCATCATTACCAGAGATGTGTTGACCTCCACTTTATGTTTGTACCTATATATGAGCATGGAGCATTGTTAGCTAATTTAACAAGATGCATCCTTTTGACATAAAATCAGCGGTAAAAGTATTGCCCTGCTGAGTTTATCTGAATTACTGCTTCAGCAATCCATCTTCCACTGTCTACACCCTAGGCTTCATTCTGAATTCCATTAAATAAATTAAATTGGCTCAAAAAGCCTCTTTCTTGGCTCAAGCAGAAAAGGGTGCTTGCTGATATCTCTGGAAAGGAACTGCTTCTTTCATACCTTGCAGTTTGGGATCTGCAAGAATCTACTATAAAAATGAATGGCTGATAGCCTACACAAGAATCTTACTGAAATTCAAAGCGATTTTACAATTTCATTCTGAAAGTCCTGATAAATAATTTTTAAAAAGCAAGCATAGCTGCTTTTAACACTTACTAGATGTAGGCTTGTTTTTAAATAGTTTTTAAAATAGATTATTACTTTGTTGTGCTTTTGATGCTATTTATAATATGTGATGTTTATTGTTTTGCTTGAATTGCTCTTAAATATAAGTACATATTTTAAAAATTGTGATTATATATCATGTGTACAGTACTGGTTTGAAAACTATTTAGGTACACTACTATAATGCACACAATAATCTGGTATACTCAGAGTTAATGGCTTTTGTTTGCTGTGACACTCTGCAGTGCTAGTGACACAATGATGATTCAGAGCTGGAGGGCTGAAGAACATGCAGGAAACATCCATAAGTACTGTTGTTTAAGAACTGAAAGACCTAATGTAATTATGCAAGTTGTGTTAAGGGCAAAAACGGAGCAACATCAAAAAATATACCATGAGTTAATATATATTGGTATTGTTATTTGTGGTGGATACCGTATGTTATTTGAAGTTGTTGTGATTACTGAATTAGCGAATACTGAAGAATTGCTCCTAGGGGAAATACACATATAGGATTCTGCAAGCCTCTGGTCACAATTTCATCAACTGATCAATACATAATCTAGTTTTATGTGTGTTTCTCTTTAAAGACACCGCTTGACCTTGGCTTGCCCCATGAAAATCAAGGGAGAGGTTGGTGAAACTTTTTTTTTAGAAGGCATCAACAAGGATGACATATCAATACTAGGCAGTTCTACTTCACAACTTTGGCTTTCACGATTTGTTGAAGGTGTTGGCAATTTTCCCTCTCAAACTGGCTTGAAAAATTGTGACAGATTTGTTTGCCTGGCTTTATGCCTCCAATCTTTAAGTGTTTTATTGTAAGGAGTGAATGCTCTGGAGATTAGGCAAATTTCTCCCATTCTTAAGTTTTATGTAGACAAAAGTCCACTGAAGAATGACTATTCTTTCAACAATAATGCCTATAAACAGGGAGAAAATCCCGCACTCACTAGCACTGATGATGTTACTTAGTTGGGTAATGAAATATCTGCAAGCAAACAACCAAACTGAGGGAGCCTCAAAGACTCCATTTTAAAAGTCTGTTTTGTAAATCCAATATAGAAAAGTTATTCAGGTCACTCTTGATGTCTTATTTATACGTCCCTTTTCATTATGAAAACATCATTATTTGTCTAGTGTAACTTTTTTTCCAAATCAATCTTTTAACCTGTCATTTTCAAACCCACTTTCAAATCACTCTCAGTCTTGTCTGGTAAAACTTGTTCCTCTTCTATAATATCTTTTAAACACAATCCATCTACAGAGTCAGATATTCTTAAAATTAACTTCAGGCTCCATTGTTCAAAAATATCCTTCAATATATTCAGTGCTAAGATATTTTGCTCCATTCTGTATTAGAAAGTCAAATGTAAGTGTTCTTCTTTAATAGTCATTTTTAGTTCCTCCTAATTCCCCCTAGTATCCAAATGTCTGTGGAGATTCTCTGTCATCCAGGTCATAGTTGTCACAAATATATATGTATATCATCTCTTACAGTATATCTGCATTATTAAGCTTCATAAATATTGTATACTTAGAAAAACAATGTTCACACTGCAGATTTCAAGGAGGAAAATGTGATGTTGAACTGTATTCCGAGAATGTGGAATTAGTCTCCTCATGAAAAGCTTTGACTTGATTGAGCCGGGGGCATGACAAAATAATTTTAATAAATGCAAAGAAATTTATTCTTCTGATTTTAAGGAATGGATCTTGGAGAGGAATATGCTATTAATCTTTGAAAAGTCTCTGTTCTAAAAATTAGAAGATGAAGCAATCTGTTTCAATATGGTCTATGTCCAATCTTAAACTTGAAAATTTAATTACATAACCATTCATAGTTATATGAATTCATTTTTTTTCCTATATATTTCCTTCCTTCCCCCTTCCTTGCATCCTTCCTCCCACTCTCCCTTCCTTCCTTCCCTTTCATTTCATTTCATTTCCATCCATCCATTTGTCTGTCACATTTAGTTTTTTTAATCACCATACTATATCTATGGTATAGTACAGTATGTGAAGTCCTATGGTGATTAGGACTTAGCTTTTTATAGATAAACATATTTATTAACCATGTCAACTGCTTTGATTTTCAGGGTAAAATGGAAAATTCTAATAGGCTCAATTGGACAAATGGAAAGGCCTTTTGAGATCACTTTGCTGTATTCAAGTTGTGATGAAAAGAATTCTGGGTTTTTGGCGCTGGGATCATTGCAACTTCAAAATTGCCTTCATGGTATGTAGGAATTCACATTTGAAAAATTGTGATTGTTGGATAAGATAAACGTCCCACTGATGGTTTCTGGCCTAAGATTCAGCAACAAGCTGTGAAGTAAATAACTTTAAAATCTATTATTATCAATTTAAATGTTACTGTTTTATATCTTAACCAAAATAAGCAAACTGTGGCTTTCAAGCCATACGTGGCCCCTTAAACCCTATTTTGAGGCATTATGGAGCTCGCCCGGCATTACACAGCCCAAACTGCTGAAACTGTTGAAGATTTCCACCAGTTTCCAATGGGAAATTAAACAAAGTGTGCTAAGCCTTCATATAGGTTTGGAAACATGGAAGGTAGGATTTTCCCTAAACCTGAAAAATGTGCCCATTCTCTTTACTACTTAAAACTTTAGGTGACCTTAGCCTGAAGGTTGCATATACCCATTGGTTGCAGTTTAGTTTGGGTTTCAATCCATTGCACATTTGGAGTAGATCCAGAGGATGGTAAAAAGCATTATCAGACTTCCTCCAGACTGATACTCATCCTAGAAAGCTCATAACCACAGAGTCCAGGCCATAACTGTGGTACATTTTAAAAGTCAAGTCAGAGAAGACTGATTTAAGTATTGATATTTATTTATTTATTTATTTATTTATTTATTTATTTATTTATTTATTGGTTTGATTTATATGCCGCCCTTCTCCAGAGACTCAGGGCGGCTTACAATGCGTTAAGTAATTTTTGTATATTTTTGTTTGTTTGTTTGTTTTTCCTTTAGATAAAGATCTTTACAACTCTGATAAGGGATCTCCTATCCCCTGCCCACATGAGGGCTGTGTCAGCCATCTAGAGGTTTGCAGTTTCAATTCTGATTGTCCAACCAAAGAAGAAGATGAATCCCTCTGTGGTAAATATGAACTTACCTGTCTCTTTCTTTCAGAGACTTCTTACTTGTCCACTATTGTAAGAAAGAAAATATTAAGCCCAACCTTTTGTTCTTTATTAATCCTGCAAAAACTTCAGCAAGGAAGGAACAAAAAATATTGATTGCCAGGTGCTGAAGGCAGGACAAGAAGCAATGGATGGAAATAATAAAGGAGAGAACCAACCTAAAACTAAGGAGAAATTTCCTGAAAATTAGAACAATTAATTAGTGGAACTACTTGCCTCTGGAAGTTGTGGGTGCTCCAACACTAGAGTTTTTAAAGAAGAGATTGGACAACAGTTTGACTGAAATGGTATTCCTGCTTGAACAGGGAGTTGGACTAGAAGGCCCTTTCCAACTCTATTATTCTAACATTTGCTGTTATTTTCACAAATGACTATTATTTCCAATGCTAGCATTATTTCCTAGATCAGAAAATACCCTACTATTTGGGCCTTGACATTTTGATGGATGCTGGTTCCTAGGCAGTTGAAATTTTTCAGTTTATACATTTAATATTAAGAATAATAAGAAAAAAATATTTAATAGTTTTGGTAGAAATGTAAATTTTCTGTAGTGATGAGTTTCTGTATGAAGTTAACCGTACTTCACAATATACTGTGCTGATCTTTTTGTTTGTTTGCTTCTTATAAAAATTACTGCTTTTTTCCAGATAGCCTAACAGAGGGGGCACATTGTTCTTTTGAGGAAGGTGCCTGTGGTTGGACAATAGATGGAAATATAAATTCTTCCTGGTCTATTAGTGGTTTTTCAAGGATGCACGAAAACCAGATTGGAGGATCTGCCTTACAAGCCACTGGAGGTATGTTCCTTATTCTTCACCTTCTGTTTTAGCTGGAAGGGTATCTCCCATTTGGGATTCTTTTATTTATTGAAACGTTGAACAACTTGTGTGCTTCTGAGCTACATCTGTTGTAGAGGGACGTTCATAGTGCTGCTTTGAGAGAGTTTGCAGCTGTGAAGGAAAACATATACAGTTTCATTATGTATGAGACCAGAAAATGGCCTAAGGAGAAACACGAAGCTTTGGGTTTTTCAGGAGAATGCTATAAGACAATCTATAAATAGTTATAGAGAGAAAGTGAGAACACCCACCTTTAATTTATAAGATGTTGGGGAGAATTCCCTCACCTTTGTTAAGAGCTACTCTAGAATATCTCTTTTGAAAGGTAAAAAGGGAGATGGACCTCTACAATTCTTCCCTTGTTCTAATAAGGATTCCATTCCCTTCATGCTTTATTGAGGGAGGGATTTGTGCATTTCAAGTCCCACCAAGAAACCCATAGGAATGGATGGCTTTGTTCTCTTCTCCTTATGCTTTTTAACAAGGCTATGACTTTCCACATACTGTACCTGCAAGGTTCCCTTAGTACGTAGCTTGGGTATCCTGTCTATGGAATCAGAGTACTCCCAACAAGGAAAAAGTATAGCATTTACGTTTTTTGTTGTTGTTGTTGTTTAAAGCAAAATTAGCTAAGGGGAAACTAAAATATATAAAATCATGTGTATTATGGAAAATGTGGAGCTTCCGGTGAGAAATATGTTTACGAAAAGTATGAAAATACAAGAGTAAACAGAACTGATAAACAAAATGGATTTTAAAACTGAAAAAAGGTAAAAAAGAATTGTTAAAATATGATAAAGTGGAACTCTTACTGTTGGGGAGAATATCTGTGATAAAAATGAATGTTTTACTTAGATGGTTAGTAATTTTTGTTCTAGGCAATACCAGTTTTGTTTTGACAACCAATGTATCATTTAAACAATGGCAGAACAAAAGGATAATTCTGAATTTATATGGGGCGGGGACCACAAATTAAATATAAGATATTACAAGATGCAAAGGAAAAAGGAGTATTGGGTTTACCTGATTTAAAATTATATTTTGCTGTTTATTATTTAGTTTGGATGAAAGAGAGTTGCTGGGAATTGCTGAGGTACAGAAAGTCACTTAAATTAAAAGAACTGAGATTTGGGTGACATCAGTGGTGGGTTTCACTTACCTTTGCTATCGGTTTGCTCGCATGTCCAGAGTGTATTTGATGATGTCCGGGTGGGTGGGCGGAGCCTTCCACCACCGCTACTACTGGTTTGCCTGAACCGGTGCGAACCGGTAGCAACCCACCCCTGGGTGACATGGATATTTGTCATATGTCAAAGCTAAGCTTTATGTAGATTATACATTAGATGTGCCATTCTGAGAATATGGAATAAAGACAAATTTATGTATTTGCTAATGGTTTTCTTATGTACAATTATTGAAAAGGTTTAAAGTAGATAAAAGTAGATAAAAGAATTGAAGACTGAATTTGAAACAAAACTGTGTACAATGATGAACAGGTTATTGTTAAAATGTATAAATGTTTGTTGAAATTTAAGACAGAAGAATAGCAAATGAAATAATGTATGATAAAATTGACTAAAATTTTGGTTACAATATACAAATGGAATAATGGGAAAATATGTGATTGAAAGAAATTTTATAATAAGGTCTAGTGTTAAAGAGAATGTTTATAAAATGATGTAGAAATTGTTTAGAATATATGAAGGTATTTCAAATTTAGGTTGGATATGTGAACAACATGAAGGGATATTTTATCATGTTTAGTGAATATGTATTAAAAGATTTTAAAGATTAATGTGCAATTGAAACCAGAAGCTTTTATTCTGGGATCAACGGATAAGCATCTGGGGGGAAAGTCACGGAACCTTGTTTTTATGTATGACAATTTCAATAAGATTGTTGTGTGCTCAAAAGAGGAAAGGTGTGGCATCACCCATGATGGAGGAATGAGTGCTAAAATGACTAAAGTCACCTCTGTGATGAGAGAAAAGACATCTACAGTACATTCATGGCTGACTGGAAATTTCTTATAGACTTTTTGTATGAGGCAGAAAAACTAACTACGGTTTCGATGATCAAGAAAAAATAGACCAAAAAAAAAATAGAGTTTTTTTTGTAACCCTAGATTGAGATCATTTTGTAATCACAGTTGTATTTGCTACAAAGAAATCAGACTCTTTTTCCTTGTTATTTCTTTTTATCTTTTGCTTTTGCATTTTGTCCTATTCTCTTTTTTTTTTAATTCTCTTTATTTTAGGTTAGCCTTCAGGATATTGTAAAATATTCTAGTTTCCAGAATATCATAAAATAATATCCTTGGTGAAGCATCAGCATGTTTGTTCTAATATATTGTAAATTCTACTATAGCTTAGTCCCAAAATACCACTGAAATCTAGTTCCAATTTTTTTCCCCAGGTCATTTTTTGTATCTGCATGTCAATAATGAACACACAGATGGTTTTTCCCGGGCATACAGCACTGACCTTCCAGCCATTCTTTCCAATGGATCTTATAAGGTACTTTAACTTCTTCCTTAGGCAATTAAATTTCACTTTGCAGATGTTTTTATGTGATTTTAGTGCTATGCAGGCTATTTTTGTGTGTGGGTGACTTTTGTCATACTATATTCAGTTTGGTCAAGAGTGTCAAAATGATTCTGCACAAAAGATCTGTAGTGACAGTTTTTACACCTAATAACCACCACTGTATATGCCATAGAAACAGGGCGTGCAATCAGCTCCAATCCAGTTGCTGATTTAAAAATTTATTTATTTAGCGTATGGCTGGTCACACAAAAATATTAAAACACTTCATTTTACAGGTTAAAACAAAACATTTTTTAAAAAATTTTTTTTAAAAAACAAGCATATGATTCTATTTGACTGTTGGATTCAATTTTCTGATTTAAAAGAAAAATCAAATTGATTGTGAAATTTGAGAGCAAGATTGCCTTGACGATACAGGAGAATATAGCAGGAAATGTTCCTTTGTTCCTATGACATCCCAACCATCAGTGCACAAGCATTGTAATATGGGGAAACTGTGGATCTTCAAAAGCTCCAGTCTAAGAAAGGATGTAATTGATGCGCAAAATGAATCTGTGCAAAGCCCCCAACCCCCAGCCACTCAAGCTTGTTTCTCAAGCAAGAGCTACAAGTCCAGGGAACCCCGAAATCATGCACCAGCTCTATCCCAGGGAGTGCTGGAAAGAGGCATGGGGGGGGGCAACCTGCTAAGAAGAGATGTTGGAATCCAGCCATCATCTGGAAGAGCTGAACGTCCAAAGGCATCCTCATATCAGTTCGGAGACCTTTTTGGCATTCACCTACTGATGACTGCTTCCCTTTCACTCTGCTTAAGTGCAAGGGCATTGCCACAAGTTGGCAGCGTGGTTTTTCCTCTGCTGCCAGCTAAGCAGGTGATTCAGCATCCCTGCATTAAAATACGTTTTACGTCCTTGCCTCTGCTGACTCATTTCTTCCAGTGGATGAAAACCCATATGTGGATGTTTGTCTCCGCTTTCCTTCCTTTCAACTGCTTTTAAAATTAAATTAAAGCAAAACAGATAACGCATGACTCCTAAGGTAGGAAAAGGAGTGGCGTGAGACAGCCAGACAGGTTAACCAATTCCAGACACAGCAGTCCTGGCTTATCTCTTTCTTTCTTCAGATCCAGAATGTCTCTGCTGAAACATGTGTTCTCAAATGCCTGTTGCCTAGCACCTCAAATTTGCTCTGTGCCCCACATTATTCCATCTTGCTGTTAAGGCAACAGCAACTGGGGCATGACCATGGAAAAGTTTTGGAAGAAACTAACCCAAACCACAAAATAACAGCCTAATCACAGCCCTCAGAACAGCTGCAACATCCACAAATGATGATGCTCGAAATAACAATGTTTTGTTCTGCAAACCATGATCCAAGATTGTGGGCATGTGAAACAAAACTCTACTTAGAACAACCTCTTTGAAGCTGAAAAGTAAAACAGCTTGCATACCTCTACTGCCAAACTCTTTTCTGTGGTCAACGATCATATCACGAATTATACGAAAGAAAGAAATAGTTGCAGGTTTGAGAATCAAACATCTCTTCAAACAAGCTTTGGGCTACCTCGGTGTTATAATCAAAGTTGGAAAGGTGTTCATGCAACTGATATACAGAAGTGGGATGATTGAGTAACAGCAGATTCAACTCTGGTATGAAAAAGACTTTTTTTCCCCCCTGAACACTTTATCCTAGAGTGAGCTAACAAAATAGAGACCCCTTTCATTTGAATTAGCAAGGTCTGATTAAGAAGCGTAGAAATAGCAGGATATTAGATCAGCTTTAAATTTGCGAATAATACCCTGATTTGTTCTAAAGCTAGTTACCATAGTTTCTCAACTTGGATGAAATGGATAACTATGATAAGAGATGTCTGGATTTCTTTGCTCTTCCTCTGAAGAAAGAAACAACCAAAGGGAGCACAAGTACAGACAAAAGGCTTATTCATAGATTAGCTTATTAAGCCTTTGCCTACTTCTGCCATTTGAAAGTGATACAAGGACTCAGAAGTAGGATCTTTCTCTCGTTCCTGTAATTTAACCAAGCTCTCTCCTTATACAAGCCCAGTTATTCGATTCTCTCGCCTTGTTTATTTCATCCTCCTCTCAAACAGAAAGACTTAGCAAAAAGCTGGATAAGTAATTATCTTTTAAATTTAAAAAAAATAATTTGTCATACTTGATGTGGAAATTTAATTCATTTGTAACATATTGCCCTCCTGAATGTTTTGACTATAGAAATAAAAATGGAAAGAATAAAGAAATGTAGCATAAATATTAGATTAATACAGCATTAAGACTGGCCATCTGGAAAATCCAAAAAGGAAAAGTAAATAGCAAGCCACTTATGCAGCGATGTAAAGATGTGACGATTTTGTGTATACCAGGGATTTTTTATATTAGATTAAGCAAAAATTCATATCCTAATAGTTCAGCTGGTTTCCCCTTTCCCCTGTCCAGAGGAGAGAATATGAGTACAGGTAGTCCTTGACTTATGGCCACAATTGAACCCAAAATTTCTGTTTAGCAAGGCAGTTGTTAAGTCATGTGCCCCCATTTTATGACCTTTTTGGTCATGGTTGTTAAGCAAATCATTACAGTTGTTAAGTGAATCATGCAGTCAAGTGAATCTAACTTCCCCCATTGACTTTGCTTGTCAGAAGCTCCCTAGGAAGGTTGCAGATGACAATCCCAGAACCTCAGGACCTTGGAACCATCATAAGATCATGCCAAGCACCCAGTGTTTGATCACTTACCTCGGAAAGTTACAATGGTGGTCACAAGGCACTTTTTTTCAGTGCCATTATAAACTTTGAATGGTGTCCCAAAAGTGCTTTTTCAAGAGGCAATTGGACTTTCTGGTTTTTCTTTGGAGACGTTTCGCTTCTCATCCAAGAAACTTTTCAGCTTTGGGCAGGGGGTCTTAATTGTTGTGGTTCTGCCAGTTTATTGCTCCTGATGGCTGACTCTGTGGCTGTAAGGAGATCTACAACTGGTAGCTGTTCTGGTGTTACTGCAAAATTCAGTTCTTCAGTGCCTCTTAAAAAAGCCAGCAGTGAAATACACTTACGTTTGCAACCTGTTCGGAAATGTGAGTACACACGCCTCTTCTGCACATGTGTAGAGCCTTCTGCACATGCGCGGAGGGTCAAAAATGGGACATAATGACATCCCAGGGGGTTGGCGGAGACTATCCGGTTCGTGTGATCCGGATAGATCCAGCCGAATGTCACCGCTGGAAAAAGCACCTTTGGGACAACCATGACCTGGGTGACTGAGAATCTCCATAGACACTTTGAATGGTGACTAAACAAATGATTGTAAGTTAAGGACTATGAATACACATAGGTTGAAAGGCAGACATTTTTTCTCTCTTGTATCCATGTAGAATGATAATGATTATTACACTGATCAGCTGTAAAGTTTCATGCATCTGATCTGATGAAGTACATGTTATTCCATGGGAATTAAAACCATAATAAAACGTGTTAACTTTCTTTCAACTTCTGCCCCAATTTACCCGACAGTGAGATGGGTGGCATATAAATTTAAGTAATTTATTCTATTGTAATTAATTATTCAGTGACACTTTTTCATTAAGTTCTTCTCTGATACATGATGGTGACAATGTTGCCTTCACTCTGGTTCAAAAATTACATGTATTGGCCTGGCAAATAAATACCATTTTTTTTCAAGGGCTTTTCATTTTTGCCCACATTAGAGGAAACAGAGCATTAATTGAGATCACACAGCTTCCTGTTCACGTATCAGCTCATTCATTGCTTCCTCCATACGCCTGCAGCAATGGATATCCTTTCTGGCTAGCTTTATCTTTTTCAAAACCAGAAAATTTGGTTCCAGTTTATATGTGATAAAAATCATAAAGGCAGAGTAGCGTCTGGCTAATGAATGTACAAATGCTTGATTCAAGATTTCTTTTTATATTTCTCATCTTTATGTGATTCATTCCCAGGAAGCTGTGTGATATTATTTTTATGAAGCTCATAACAGGACCCCCCTGAATATAAAACTTTTAAATCTATGAACCAAGGTTATAGTCCTCAAATACGGTACTTATAAACGACCTCATATACAGCTTTTCTCTGTCTCACCACTTTATCTTCACTTTAGGTCCAATTCTCAGCATATGTTTTTGGCCATTACAATGGTAGCATTTCATTCACTGTACAAGAAAATGAAGGAGTAACCAATGGCAGTGCGGCACTACAGATATGGGAAAAATCAGGGAGCTGGAGCAATCATTGGTTTCTCATAACTTTGGAAATGCCAAGCCTACAGAACAGGTAATTATAGCATCAGGAATATTTATTTATTTTTTATTTATTTATTGGTTCGATTTATATGCCGCCCTTCTCCGGAAACTCAGGGCGGCTTACAATGCGTTAAGCAATAGCCTTCATACTTTTGTATATACCTGCTTAGTAGGGCTTTTGGCCCCCCCTAAGCAGTGTTCTTTTTTATACAAAGTCATCTTATTGCCCCCACAATCCGGGTCCTCATTTTACCTACCTCGGAAGGATGGAAGGCTGAGTCAACCTTGAGCCTGATGAGATTTGAACTCACAGTAATTGCAGGCAGCTGGCAGCTAAGTGCTACTTAACAGCACTTTAGTCCGCTGCACCACCAAGGATAGTAATGAATATTCATCATTACTATCATTACCTGTGCATTTCTTATCTATATGGGTTGTGACTTTTAAGGGGGATTATGAGACAATAGATAGAGGATTCCTAGACAGTGCCTCCCTCCCAAGTCCTCCAAGCAAGCTTACTAGTTTGTCACAAAACTGTGCTATTGCATAGCCTAATATGAAGCCTGGGTGTTCTTTGATTTTTTTCCCCCCTAAAGACTATTTATCTTATAAAGCATATATGCAAAGTTCTATCCCTTATTCTGCTGAGGGGAGGAGAAAGGAGGAAGGGCTGGGAAGGACAGAGGAGGAAATTGCAAGTGGAAAGGAAGCAGGGGCGGGTTTCCAAACCGCTCGTGGGTATGTGTGTGCTCGCACACTCACACGACGCTTCTGTGCAGAAGCATCCGGGCAGATGGGTGGAGCCTCCCGACCCAGGGCAAACTGGTAGCAACCCACCACTGGAAGGAAGGTGAGATTTACAAGGGCCAAGCTGGAAGAGAAAGGGAAGATAGGTTCTGACTTTTAGAGCATCTACCGTATGGTAGCAGAGAGAGCACCAAAAGCAACATAAGTCTACCATCATTTTGCAACCTACAGAATTTTAGGAACAATTAAAAGCTTCCAATCACCAACAGAAGAAAATATTGGTAGCTCAGGGTTGAACTCTGGAGTCCTTGGTGTCCTCTGAGCTTGATGGTTTGATGGTGCATTGATGATATTACCTAGTTTGGTAATGAAACATCTGCATCATGCAATAAAACCATGAAGCTTAGGGAACACCAAGGACCCCACAGAATCTAATTAATTAAACACTATTTTGTTTCCTACTCTATGCCCCACCCCACCCCCTTCTTGATTTTGTGAAAGAGTGGCTCTCTTCAAAATGAAATCCTGATTTTAGTGATTAACAAAAAGAAAGCAAGAGCATTCTTCCAATAAATATATGGTTTCAAATTAACTTGTTTTTTTGCTCATTTCCTATTAGGTTTATTTTGTCATGTAAACTCCAATTTTAATTTTATTTTATATGTAAAATTACATTTAAATTATTAAAAGTAAACTGTATGTTTATTCCTTACTCATTCTTACCCCTAGTGTAGTTTTTAATTTTATTAATGGGGAAGGCACATACATTCAATTTATAGGATCACGTTATTGCAAACTTTGAAAACCTACATTGTACCATCAATGTGCAGAGATACTTTTCCAAAGAAGCACATTTTGCTTTAAGAATTTTACCATGCAAAGTCATAATACAGGATGGAAATTAAATAAGAATATATATGTGGTTTAATACATGTTCTTAAGACATTATCACAAGGATACTGCCCCAAATTTGAAAGTAACCCTAGACTTCTGGGTCCCACAATGTGAACAATTTATTTCTCACTTAGTTGTGCTGAGGCTTTAAACTGTTACTAAGCTGGGGTTTGTGGAATTAATAGTGGGGCTGTGCTTAATTTCCCCACAGAAAGGATTTCTTGCCTCACATTTTCTCCTAGCTGCTGAACTTCAAGTCCTAGGAGAAATGCTAACTTATACCTACACACACCAATAGCCCAGACAAAGCAAGCAAATGTGAAAATTAGTTCTTTTTAGCACTGGAAGAACTTCTGCAAAGTATCATGCTGCTGGGAAGAAGAAGTTACTTCCTCTCTTGTCTTTTGTCTGCAGTGGAGGTGAGGTATCTTTCCCTGCAGAACTGCAGCACAGTGATTTTTGTTCATTAGTATTTCAAGTCAGCAGAAGTGAGACAAACATGGCTTGTCTTTAATTGCTTCTGAACGTTTGGTGAATGAAGAGTGTAGTAATGTGGAAATTTTTTTAGACTTAGTGAGGATTGAAGAGGTGGTGAGAAGGAGGGAGAGGGAGAGAGAGAGAGAGAAATACACACAGAGAGACACAACCCAAAATGACATATAATGGCTTTAGGATAGGGTTTCAAGCATAGTATTCTGAAGAGAATACTAGGTGTTATTGAATGGAAGTGGGGTTGAAGAAGAGCCAACAGTCTTTTACCTGCTTACATGAATACTAGGATAGGAACTGCAAGACAAAACTGAGAAGGAAACCAAAGTGAAAGCTGTAATTGTCAACCAATTGCTATGAATTGACCATTGAGTAAGATGAACCTTTTAAGTTGTATACTTGGCTCTTGGGAATTTCAATGGACACGTTGATGTAGTTTTCTAGGTAGCAACGTGGAAGGACCTTGTCATCGCTTTCGTTAAATAAAAGTCCTCCTCAAATAGAAAATAACCTTTTAAAGTTCCTGGAATTCTTCTCTATTCCAGTCCAAAATCTGAACATTTGAAGAAGTCCTGAATTCTGCTAATTGTTGCTGATGAATCTCTATCTGTACAAATATATACACACCAAACACTGGTGTATTTTCTGTGATGGTAGCAATCAACTGTTCTTTATGCTTTTTCAGTTCCTTTGAAAAGAGTTTGTATTACCACTATTGTAACTAATTGGAGATCATGGGTTGCGTGTGAGAAAGAATGTCATGACATTATGTAGCCAACAAAGTGCAACTCCATAATGGCAAGTGCAACCCTATTCTAATAATTATTGTCCTATTCTAAAATTGATGTAAGTAGTGAAGGAAGGTGTTGCCGTAGCAACAAGGCCTAGTCTGTTTTTCCTGCTGCTATGCTGATTGGATATATAATGTAGTTGCTAGAAGCAAAATGTTGTCATTGTTCACTTGTTCAGTGAGAAAGAAAAGAGTAACATATCTTTTGCAAAGGATGTTATCTCCCACTGTTCACATATCACTCTATTTATCTCCTTTTTGGAGCCTATGCTACAAAGGTACATAACTTTTTCATGTTCAAAAGCCTCACTTAGTCTTCCAGATAAGGAAGACCAGAGACACAAGGGTGACAACTGACAGGTTGGCAAAAAGCTCAGACCAGTGGAACCTCTCCAGATAAGAAGATGAGAGATTACCCACTTGTGGTCTGACTCTGGATAGTTACTCCATACACGGTAGCCACAGTATAGGGGTTATTCTGTAGGTCTAGGCACTGGGAAATGAGGAAGCAATCATGCTTTCAATCATGGCAGAGCCTTTAAGGTCACCTCATTTTCTAATCATCCTTGAAGTTACAATTATTTTACAGCTAAAAGTGATCTTCCAAACAAGTTTGAAAACCTATCTGATGAATAAAATTTCATGCCCGAATAAAAGAAAAGCTAACTAGCAGTTTAAAGAATGTAAAGTCTATAAAATAAGTGGCCAAAAGCTAAATAAGAATTTAAGAAAGTTTTAAATAGATTAAGGGACTGGACAAATTTGGAATATTGGGACATTTGTTAAGATCTTTTTTAAAATTGTGTAAACAAGCCAGCATTTCCTTGGGAACACGAATTGCTTAATCTATCAGAAAAGAGATCATTGACTGAAAATAAAAAAACAAAGCAAATCCTCCCACCCCCACCCAGAGACTTCATAAATATACAGATGGGTCACCTAATGCTGCAAAATTTCAGGCAAGAAAAATGACAAGCAAAGATATGACACTGGAGACATTTCAAAGGATTCTTGAAGAATTGGGAAATAAGTTTATAACTAATCTGACAGCAATAATTTCTCCACCTGTAAATGTATTTTTTGAAAAAAATACTAAAGAATAATTGAACAATGTGACAGATAACCAACTGCCAACAGAAGATCATCTGATGTACAAGCAGGATTTCGTAAAGAAAGAACACATGATCATATGATCATATTGCCAATCTACATTGGATGATGGAAAAAGCAAAGGAAGACCTCCACATGTGCTTCATTGACTACACAAAAGCCTTCAACTATGTTGACCATGACAAACTTTGGAATTGCCTGAAAGAATTGGGAATATCAGCACACTACATCCAACTCATCCAGTGTTTGTATTCTGATCAGGCAGCTACTGTTAAGAACAGAATATGGAGACACCAATTGGTTCAGAATTGGAAAAGGCATTCGGCAAGGTTGCATCCTGTCACCTACACTATTCAACATGCACATAGAAATAGTTATGAGAAATGCACATATGGAGGAGTCTACCACTGGGGTTAAAATCAGTAGTAAGAATATCAGCAACCTCCTATATGCAGATGATACAATATTGCTCACAGAAAGCAAGGAGGATCTGGAGTGGCTAATCCTGAGAGTCAAAGATGAAAGTGAAAAAATTGGGCTGCACTTTTAACATCAAGAAAACAAAGATAATGTCAACTGCAGGGAAGACACAGGTCAGAGTGCAGATCAACAATGAAACCATAGAAACAGTAAGGGAATTTATCTTCTTGGGCTCTAAAATCAACCAAAGTCATGACTGCAGCCCTCAGATTAGAAGACATATAAGAAGAACTTGGAAGAACTGCAATGTCTGGCATGAATAACATCTGGAAAATCACAAGCAAATGCAGATTAGTTAATACAATAATTTTTCCAACTGCTACTTATGGCTCTGAAACTTGGACTCTGAAAAATGCAGATAGAGAAGGGTGGATGCCTTTGAACTGTAGTGCTGAGGGCAACTATTACACAACCCATGACTGCAAAAATAATGAACATAATAATGAACAAAGAAGTCATAGACTGAACCTCAACAAAAATATCACTTGAAGCCAAGACTGTCATACATTGTTCAGAGCGCTCCATGGCATCGGACCGGGGTATTTACGAGACCGCCTTCTGCTACCAACAGCCTCTCACCGACCAGTACGCTCCCATAGAGAGGGGCTCCTCAGGGTGCCGTCGGCCAAACAGTGTCGACTGGCGGCCCCCAGGGGGAGAGCCTTCTCTGTGGGGGCACCTACCATCTGGAACGAGCTCCCCCCAGAGATACGGAAGATCCCGGACCTGCGCACGTTTCGCCGTGCTCTCAAAACTTTTCTATTTCAGCAAGCTGGCCTGGCCTAACTCCCCTCTTTTAAATTTTTTCAATTTTTTAATTCGTGACTTTATAAATTGGGTGTTTTAATCTGTGTTTCGGCCAAAATATTTAATAATTTTAAGGGATTTTAAATATTTGTATTATCTGTATTTTATCTTGGCTGTTCACCGCCCTGAGTCCTTCGGGAGTAGGGCGGTATAGAAATTTGATTAAATAAAATAAATAAATAAATACATGTCATGAGAGCTGACTCACTCGAAAAGTCAATCATGCTGGGAGTGAGCATCAGAAAAAGGAGAAACGGCTGTCCTAGTACCTGCTGGCAGGACACTATAAAGGATGACACTGGGATGACCATGGCAGATCTGAAAGAGGCAGTGCATGTCAGGGGAGTTTGGAAAGTGCTGATCCATTGAATGGCTGAGGATCGGACACAACTGAATGCTGATGACGATGATGACGGCAGATAATAATATGGAAGAATTTATGGATAGACAGGATAAAGAGGAAATGCAAATTCTAACTGATGGAGAAATATTGGAAAATAAAGAAATTATAAGATAGAGATGACAGAGTGAAAATACAAATGACAAATCAAAAGATGCAAAAGGGCTTGAACAAGAATTTATTTTGAATTTACAAAAGAAGTTTTCTAAAACCTTAAAAAATGTTTGAGATGCAAGAAATAAAGTCTGAATGGGGATTCAATCCTACAACAGCAACTTTATGAATTAAAGATTAAGATTATTAGAAGTTCCTTCCACCCCCACCCCCCAAAAAGGAATATAAAATTGACTTGTTTGACCAGGGATAAAATAATAAACACTTTTGTAGAATTCTAGAAACCTTTTATGGGCTTTTTGCTGACACTGACAGAAATGAAAATGAGTTTTGGATGTGTAAATCAATAAGGAAGACCTTGTTATGAGAGGCAAACCACATATGTAATTTCATAGGGGGTTGGAAATTATTAATTTGTCTGTACTTGTTGCGAGGAAAATTGAAAAGTACTTCTTTAAATATTCTTTTTTTCCAATCTCTTTTTTTTCCCTTTCTTGCACTTTGTATTGCTTTTCTTTCCGTTCTCTTCTTCTCCTATCACTTTTTATTATCTTAAAAAAAAAAAAAAAAAAGGCCCACTTGGCCTTTGAGAGACATTGTTGAGGGATCCAAGACAGAAATTAGGTAATCTGATTTAAATCTATTTAGAATATAATGTTCACTTTCTAGTCATATCATCTCTCATTTATCCTTCTTTAAACATTACAGTTTGGAAACAATAATCTCGCTGAAGCTGCATGCAGTTACAGTATCGGAGTTTAAGGTGTGCACTTTAGCTCTCCCGCATCGTAGCAGCAGGACCTGAGCCCATAATATAGAAGAGTAGAGATTTCAAAATTACTCTCATAGAAGGTTAACAAAAAGGGATTGAATGGAGTATATAAAAATAAATACATTTTTTACAGATCACAAGATAGACTTAAACTGACTTTGTAAAATGACTGATGCCCCAATTTAGATTTAAGAGTTTCAAAAAGAAGAATTTTCAAAGCAAATCATTGTATTCATGCACAGATAAAAGAGCTTAACATTAACTGAGTTAGCAGTACTCAGGCAAAGCAAATTAAAGGATTTTAACCAAGTCCTAAATTACAAACTTCTATTCCCATACAAAATAAACTCTAGAAACAGATGCTTCTTCTATTCTAATAGTCATCTAGAAATTCCCTATTTCTGAAATCCCACAATAAATAGGGGCTGGAGGAGAATAGCCTCATCTCTTGCCTTTCTGCCCTAGTGTTGACTTTCTTTCTTTCCTTCTCTCTACTCCCCCAAGATTTGTACTGCAATCATCCTATCTAGGAAGAGAGGGTTTGGGGGATTTGACCCCGTATGTGACATAGTCCAGATCACCTCTGAATCCATGTTAATTAAAACTCAGGAGTCCCATAATTGTTATTTAACTTGGACAGCTGGGATACTAGGCTTGAGGGCCTGCCTTTCATAGCACAAATTGACTAAAAGGAAAGCTGCTTTTTATATGGAAAACTTGGCTTTATAGCCATAGCAGCTAAATACATCCCCTGATTGGGCACAATCTTGTTTAATATTTAAGGGGATACACCAGCTATGAATTCTAAGATATGCAATCCACACAGATTACCATCAGCTTCCATAATAATTGTTTTTTATTATTATTATTATTTGTAAAATTTATTGGCTGCCCATTTTACCACAATCTTAAATGTGGGGCAGCTTACAATCTCAAAATACATTTTAAGATTTTAGTCCTTAAAATGCCACACGACTCTTAATTGGTTCTGTTGTAACAGGCAATTTTGGCAGGTTTATTTCGAAAACTTGATATATTTGTTTTCATGGAACTATGAAATGCACTAAAGTAAGGAGCACCCTTATTTTTTTTTTTCAAATAGTATCGCTGATTTACAGCTCCCGTTTTAGTTATCATCCTTTTTGAATTGTTCATCTTCATGTTTATTCATTGACTTCTGTTCTGTAGGTTAATTTTTTTTTAATATTTCTTCTTTTGCTCTCCCAATATGTTTTGTTAAAAAAAAAGCTTTCATCTGGAGCTCCTCGCTAATTGGGGTTGGAATTCACAAGCTGATATTGCTGTGGACAACATAACTTTTGGTCTGGATTGCTTCTCTAATGGTGAGTTATTTCTAATTAAGGAAGTGCTATGTTCTGAGAGTATAAAAGCAAGCAATTATTACTTCTACTAGAACTTTTTCCCCATAAGCCTTTTCTAAATCTAACATATGTGAAATGTCTTTGGAGATAATTGCCACAATAAAACAAATTAAATAGCAACCCAGTTTTTTTCGCCCTTGAAATCAGAAGGCCTCTTCTGTGGTAATATTTTAATTAGCAAAATAATGTATATTCATAGTCCATAGCTAGTGCATACCAATATTATGCCACGGAAATAGGGCAGCAATCTATTGAATGTCTATGGAGGTTTTCAGTCATCTAAGCCATGGCTGTCCCAAAGGTGCTTTTTCAAAAGTCAACTGGACTTTCTGGTTTTTCTTTGAAGACGTTTCACTTCTCAGAACTGAAGAAGCTTCTTGGATGAGAAGCGAAACCAGGGGTGAAATCCAGCAGGTTCTAACAGGTTCTGGAGAACCGGTAGCAGAAATTTTGAGTAGTTTGGAAAACCGGCAAATACCACTCTGGCTGGCCCCAGAGTGGGGTGGGAATGGAGATTTTGCAGTATCCTTCCCCCAGGAGGGAGGGAATGGAGATTTTGCAGTATCCTTCCCCTGCCACGCCCACCAAACCACGCCCACAGAACCGGTAGGGAAAAAAATTGGATTTCACCCCGAGCGAAACATCTTCAAAGAAAAACAAAATCCAGTTGCCTTTTGCAAAAGAACCCTTGGGGCAATCTATCAAATGATAATGTGGTAGAAAATGGCTGTATTACTGTCAGGTAGGTTTAAAAGTGGAAAAAGGGAAGAGAAATCCCCCATATCATGAAAAACGAGTTCGAAATCCCTAGTCCCACTAGAGACACCTCTGCTGCCTTACTGCTGTACTTCTTGATTCTTCTGCATTTAAGACCTGCCCAAATCTCCACTCTGGGTTTGCACTGCACAAGAAGCTGAACTTTGAACCAAGGAAATACTGTTAAAGTTACCCTGTGGGGTTCAATTCTTCCCAACCTTTGGAATTTCTCCCCTCTTTCTGTGCACGAAGCAACTCATTACCAGCTGCTGCTTCTCCTTTGATAGAGTAGCTTTGATAACCCATAATCATGTTTGATTGGGTTTTCCTCCCCCCCCCTTTTTTTTTTCCACAGTGAAAGAAAAAAAAAGAGGAGTGGAATATAAGCAGGTTGCTGGGTTTTTTATTTTTTTATAAGTTATATTATAAACATACAAAAACACAGAAATTAGAAAATTAAGGAAAAGAAGTGGAAAGAGAGAGGGGGGCTATGATCTCCAAGTATTTTACAAAATAAGTGGGGGGAGGGAATACAACTTCAACATTTCATAACATTTCAATTCAACTCATCCACTGTGGGAATTAGTGTGTTTTTCCATCTTTGTGCATATAAGATTCTCACCGCTGTCAACATATACAATAACAAAGTTCCAAATTTTATTTCAAGTTCTTCGTCCATCAAACCTAAATGGAAAACTTCTGGTTGCAATTTTATATTTATTTTAAGAATCCCCTGAATTAAAGTAAAAATCTGGTCCCAGTATTATTTTGTCACAAATCTACCAGAGTTGATAAAAAACATTCTCTTAGCCGTTGCATTTCCAATATACATTTGAAATCCTATATAGATTTTTGACAATTTCTCAGATGTTAAATACCAAAAATATGTCACCTTATTAAAAAAAAAATTCTTTCAAATTATTATTCAGTGAAATTTAAAATTCATTAGTCCACCTGTTTTTCCACTGTTCAATCTATTATCATCAAAATTCTTTACCCATTGGATCATACAATGCTTAATATATTCATCTTCCAAATTCAGTGTCAACAACAGTTTATAAATCTTAGCAAAAATATGTCCATCATTGGCACACAATCCAATTTTAAACTCGATTTTTGTATACTCAAAAACATGGCTTTTCTTATCTAGTTAAATCTTTCTTTTAATTCTAAATAGTGAACTACCGTAATATCAAATATGGGAGATCCTTGGTGCACTCTAAAAGTGGTTGTTTTCTTCCAGATATTTTGTTACCCAACCCAGGTTACATCATCAGTGGACAGTAATGGTGTTACATAGTTTGAGTAGTGAAATATCTGCACGAAAACAACCAAGGACCCCTCATTTCAATCCTGAGCTACAAATGTTTTCTGTTACCGGTATTAATATCAAATATGCCCTTCCAACTCTAATCCTTCTTTCAACTTCAAATTGAGTTCTCCATGAGTAGGACATAATATCTCACTGTAGATCCACCCAATTGGCATACATCTGATTAGAAAAAGGCTGTTGTACAACTAAGACAGCATGCTTGTTTAAAAATACCAGAATACATCAATAAGATGATATTTTAAAAAACATTCAGGTTCACTGATGCTCCCTGAATTTCTATAAGCTGTATTGTTTTCCTTCAGAAAAGAAGGCTATTTGTTCATATCATTCAATTACATTTTGGAGAAATCCAGCAGCTTTCTGTAATAAAATTACATCCTTCTTTGCCAAGAGAGATTTTGGAGATCCCTGACAGTTCCAATTAATTAATCAGGCAAAGAGTCTTAAGTCTGAAGATTTGCAGGAGGGAAGTGGGAGGAAGAGGAAGAAAGGAAACAGAGTCGGAAGAAAGTTTAATTTTCTTTTTGCTAAGATGGAAATACTCATTTCCTCCTGCATTTCAGCTATTTAATTCATCTCCTTTCATTACAGAAAATGCTTTGTGGTTTGTATGAATCAGAATGAGTGGTTGAGGAGTTGAATGATATTTCACTGCTATGGCTTGTGAAAATGCAGTTTTGATTAGCCGACCCTCTTCTTCCTTGATAATGAATGCTTTTTCTATTGCTTAGTGTAGTTCTCTGATTAACATTCTGGGCCCAGAATCTGTTGATTAGAAAATGCATTGGTTGCTACCTCCCACTTTATCTTATAATACTTCTATATTCCTAACTTTTTATTTTATGAGCTTTGCTGCTGAAAATCGCCTCTGTAGGAGTTGTAAGCATGAGAGGTAAGCAGCTGCTACAATTAGACTTAATTTCTTCAGTTAACAGATGCTATTCTGTTAACATCAAGTCAGCCATGATGGCCACTGCACAGGTTACCACCAATGCTAGCAAGTCCAAAATCTAGCAAGATAGATTTTGGACTTGCAAGATAGAGACTAGCAAGTTAGCAACCCATTTGATCTGAAACCAGATGGGAAAGAAGCAGCCTTATCTCTTTCTAGCAGTGTCCATATTTTGACACAGTTTTCAGCTTGAGGGTGGGATTTTACCTTGCCTGAATCTATCACTGATAGCTTGCATAACAGTGAAATGTGATTTGGCCCACCTCCAGCAACTTCAAAAATGTAATCAAGTAAGGTCACAAGCAGAACTGGAGACCATCCTTTGATCTAATCCATAAAATGCTAGGTTAATACAGTGGGACACAGCAGTACTTCTTGTGCATATAATTTAACATAATTGTTGAATAGTAACAGTAAATTAAAAGTAAAAATGATGATGAGTAAGTGGGAACTTAGCTATATAAAGGCTAGGGAGATAAAATGTGAAAAGAAATGTGGGTAAAGGTAAAGGTTCCCCTTGCACATATGTGCTAGTCGTTCCCGACTCTAGGGGGCGGTGCTCATTTCCGTTTCATAACCAAAGAGCCAGCGCTGTCCAAAGACGTCTCCATGGTCATGTGGTCGGCATGACTAAACACCAAAGGTACACGGAACACTGTTACCTTTATTTTTTTATTTATTTATTGGTTCGATTTATATGCCACCCTTCTCCGGAGACTCAGGGCAGCTTACAATGCATTAAGCAATAGCCTTCATACTTTTTTGTATATACCTGCTTAGTAGGGCTTTCGCCCCCCACCCCCCAAGTGGTGTTCTTTTTATACAAAGTCAGCTTATTGCCCCCACAATCCGGGTCCTCATTTTACCTACCTCGGAAGGATGGAAGGCTGAGTCAACCTTGAGCCTGGTGAGATTTGAACTTGCAGTAATTGCAGGCAGCTGGCAGCTAAGTGCTACTTTTAACAGCACTTTAGTCCGCTGCGCCACCAAGGCTCATTTAGTCACCTTCCCACCAAAGGTGGTCCCTATTTTTCTACTTGCATTTTTTACGTGCTTTCGAACTGCTAGGTTGGCAGAAGCTGGGACAAGTAACGGGAGCTCACCCCATTATGCAGCACTAGGGATTTGAACCGCTGAACTGCCGACCTTTCGATCAACAAGCTCAGCGTCTTAGCCACTGAGCCACCCCATCCCTCAATTTCTCTGTTACTGTTCAAACTAAAAAAAAAAAAATGAAAGAAGCTATGCATTGGTTTATAGAAGCCAGTCAAATTGGCCTTCAAATTCAAGAGTCTAGACTCTTTAAAAAATTGCAGACAGAACTCTCATCCAGTGATACAAATTAGATGTAATGACAGGCATTAATAACATCATACATTGATATCCTGACCAGGTCAAAGTTTGACTCAGCCTTCCTGAGCACCAGAGGTAATTTTACCATCGGTTTGCCACGCACCGAAAATGTGAGCCCAATGCAGAAAATTGCTGTAGGAAGAGCAGCAAAACCAGCATTGCAATCTAAACGGGCTTCACAAAACCAGGAGAAAATGCAAAATGGTCTGTGTTCCATATTAATCCATTTATAATTTGGACAGCTGTAGAGATGGAAAGAAATGGCAAATGACTTTTCTATGTCATTTTTGCAGGTTCCTTAGTTCCACTTGTACAAGATTAACATTTTTTAAATATTTATTTCTAAAGTTTTGCAAACAGAATTTCTTAATTTTAGGCAAAAAAAAAATTCTGCACCTGATTTTTTTTTTTCCAAATCCAAACCGTTTCTTCTTCTGTCTTTTCATTTCACTCATTCACAAATTTTGGCAGGAAGAAAACAAAGCCACACTGATGGAGAACAACACTACTCATTGGCAATTGATAGATTGGATGAGCGTCTTTTTAATCCTTTGGAAGAACCCCTTCTTTTAGGTGACTATCACTATGTATCCATTTGTAGCATTAATTTATAACTAATTTATTACTAAGATTTCTTCTCATAGCAAACTTATTATTCTCATAATGCTAAATCCGGCATAATTACTGACATCATGCTAAATCTCGGCATCGGAAATAAAACAGCTTTTGAACAACATTGCAGTTATATTGAAAGCTACAGGAACTATTTTGATCCTTCAGGGCAGAAAGAATAGGATAATTTTTAAATTAATATTTTCTAATTTTCAGCCGTATTTCCTGTATTTCCTTATTTCCTTGGCATAAGTGGTCTTGTGGGTAATATGTGGTAGAATTGTAAAGAATAGGCCTACTGTAATTCTAATTCACTCCTAGAATGTATAACTTTTTGTACTGGAACAATAATGTTATGATACTTTTTTTTACAAATGTGAATAGCAGAAAATTTTCAGGAGTCTGACTGTGGTCCCTGAATTGGGACCATAATATAAGACAAAAAAGTTAAATATTCCTGCTTGAGTTTCAGTCTGGATCAGAGCTCCCATACCCTCTGTTGTTTTCTTTTCCAAACTTATTGACCTATATGAACTGAACTATGTCATGTTTCAATCAATGCTTATTTACTTAAATTTTTATATAGATGACTTAATTTTGTCAAAAAGAAGTGGTATGAAATCCAGTTTATAGATGCATCCTCCCAATGAGATGGTTAATGAAATACATATACCTCTCAAAGTAGTTCCAGTGCAAGGGTTCATTGTTTTGGTTCAAAAATAATCAATGTATGCAATATTTTGTTTTTTAGTTATTATGATGAAACTAACAAAGTAGAAATTGATAGAACTTTATTAGGATTCTACCACCTTTCAGTTTTTGTTTTTGTTTTTGTTTTTGCTTGATCATGCTCAACAAAGCTCCTACCGTAAAGTCACTGTTGCTGATTTTTTTTTTCATTTGGTTTAAGTTGGGATCAAACTATGAAGATCTGAAGATCTAAAACTTACATTTGTTTTTTAACTGGCTTGCACATCAGCAAATTCAGAATTTTACATGATATTCAGGCTTGTCTCATCCAATACTCTCTTAAGGTGGCCATTCTGGCTAAAATTTCATTGGAAAAGGAGTAAAAAAAAGAGAGAGAGAGAGAGAGCTTTGAATGGAGCAGGAAAGAAAGCAATTCTGATCCAACGTTCCCCACAATGTTCAGTGCTGCTTCATTGCCATAAGTGACAGAGCTGTTAAAATCACTGAAAGGCTATATCTTGTGATCTGATAGCTGCTGAAAACCTTTGGGTAGGAGAAAGTAGAGTTGCACAGTTATGCATGTGGTTTACTAGAAAGGCTTTTTTTTACAGTGAAAGGTACAGTAGCACATAAAGATGTACACAACTGTGTCACTGAGATAGTTAATGCTAGAAGCCTGACTAGGTGGCTCAGTGGCTAAGATACTGAGCTTGTCGATCAGTAAGGTCGGCAGTTCGGTGGTTCGAATCCCTAGTACAGGTCGGACTAGATGTCCTCCAAGGTCCCTTCCAACTCTGTTACTGTTACAGAAATGCAAAACTATTAGTAAAACATCCCCCAGAAGGGAAAGGAATTAATAGGAAATGTGGTTGTTGCTATATTGTCTGGAAAAGTTTTTTTACTACTGTATAAAGGTTTTTTACAGTATTTTTATACATATTATATATGTGTGTGTTTTGTATAGTTTTAACATTGTGCACCACCCAGAACTACCCTGTTATAAGATGGGCCAATAAATTTAACAAACAAACAAACAAGTGAGAAATGAAAAACTGGACCTGGCGGGACAATAATGCTTTTTTTCTTTTTATTACGTGTGAATATGGTCTGGGAAAGAAAGTGAAGTTGACGTGCTAGTCATAGCTCTGAATCTCTTTCTAACACTAGGGGAAACTCCTGTTAATCTCTGGTGGTTTACAGCCTGTGGGGCTAGTGGGCCTCGAGGACCAACACAAGCACAATGTGATAGTGCTTACCACACCACTAATGTGTCAGTGACTGTGGAAAAAGAGGGACATCTACGAGGGGTACAAATCTGGAAAGTGCCAGCATCAAACCGATATACGTGAGTATCAGTGTGATGAGGTGAGGGAATAAGAATGCAGGTAGTCCTCGACTTACAACAGTTTGTTTAGTGACCATTCAAAGTTGCAACGGCACTGAAAAAGGGACTTACAATCGTTTTTCACAGTTGTGACCTTTGCAGCATCCCCACGGTCACATGATCAAAATTTCAGATGCTTGGCAACTGGTTCATATTTATGACGGTTGCAGTATCCCAAGGTCATGTGATCCACTTTTGCGACCTTCTGACAAAGTCAATGGGGAAGCCAGATTCACTTAACAACCGGGTTACTAAATTAACGACTGCAGTGATTCACTTAACAACTGAGGCAAGAAAAATCGTAAAATAGGGCAAAATGTAACAAAAATCTCACTTAACGACAGGAATTTTGTGTTCAGTTGTCATAAGTCGAGGACTACTGACTGTTTATGTGGTAACTTTTAAGCCAAGGAATCTAATGGTACCTCCCATGAGTCCAATCAATATGAGCAGTGGTCCAAGATTTTCTGAGAGGTGTAGTCCAGTTATATCTGGAATAGTGGCAAGATGGGTGACAAACAAATTTAATAAATAATAATAATAATTCCCATCCCCACCCTGCTTATTTCAATACATTAGCCATGTAATATTTTCATTAAGATAGAGCAGCATTGTAATTCCTACATTTAAAATGTTATATTTTCTATCAGTGTATTTTTAAAAAATAGATAAAATCTGTAATGCAGGAATGAAAGATTTTAAAGGTGTCATATAATAAAGAATGTGGAAGGAAAGAGAAGAAGAGGACAAATAGCAGTGGTGCATTAAACTGGTTAAGAATGAACTGTTGAGAACCTGAAAGAGCAGATTTGATGGGCTGGGAAATATATATATATATACACACACACACACACATACACACTGCAGTCAGCAGGAATAGCCCGCAGTACTGCACTCTAACCACTGCGCCACCATGGCTTGCTTGCTTATTTATTTGTTTGTTTGTTTGTTTGTTTATTATTTTGTTAAATTTATTTGCCACCTATCTCACCATGGAGCTACTCTAGGCAGCTTCATTAAGATTGTAAAAGGTAGAAAAATGAAAAGATGTATAAAAGGAATTAAAATAATCGAACAATAAAGTAAACAATGACAAAGGAACACAATGAGAATACAACAATATGATAACAAAAAAGATGAATGGATGAAGAGCAGAGAACAAAGGGGGGAAGGTTAAATCTGCCATCAATCTAGCAGCCATTTCCAGTGTGGAACTTCCCCATCTGGTGCCCAGGCCAACTGGCAGAGCCAGGTCTTCAGGCTCTTGTGGAAGGATAGGGGGCAGATCTCAGAGGATAAAATGTTCCAAAGGGAGGCGCTGTAGCAGAGAAGGCGGGATCCCACTAGTTGGAGTTCTTTCACCAATGGGATCCTAAGTAGGCCCTCTCGGCTGGCACAAGTAAAACGGGCTTGGCAGTTGGCCTGGGCACCAAATGTGGGACAAGGCAGTTGACCTGGATATCACCTGAACTCTCTTTGGAGACAGGATTGTGGCTGTGTAGAGCTCATCAACTTGGAGCCTCGTTTTGAGCTGTAGAGTTTCTTCCTAATTGCTGTTACTCTTTTCCAGGATTTCAGCCTACGGAGCAGCTGGAGGAAAAGGAGCCAAGAACCACAACCAACGGTCCCATGGGATTTTTATCTCAGCTAACTTCCAACTGGAAAAGGATGAACTCCTCTACATGTTGGTGGGGCAACAAGGGGAAGATGCCTGCCTAAGGGTGAGGCCTACACACTTTCCACTCCAAGCACTTGGTGCACTTTGAGATTGTGACAAAAGGTTGATTAGGATATTTCAGGAGTCAGTCTTCTCAGTCATGATAGCTCCAAAATAAGAAATAGGAAACAAAGGATTGCAAAGAGAGGGTTTGTTTGTTTATTGTTTTTGTTTAGCTTGAACTTTTGTCATTCTTTTTGTTGCGTTTCCAATCAATGTCTTCTTTGCTGAACCTGTAGACTGTTTTGAAATCTAATATTGATCAGCTCTGAATGTATTTTAAACAATTGTAACTGATACATTTGGGGGGGGGACGGAAATCCTAGTATATAAACAAAAGAGAGAAAATGTTAAAAGTGGCATTTTCACCTAATGTGAAGAATAAGTGAGCCCAATCTGTGTTCAGGATTTTTTTAAAAAGTGCATATTCTCTGCAGTAGTAAATATATGCAATCTATAATTCATTGATTACAAATATTGAAGCAGATTAATATCATTTTGGAACAGGGGTCCTTAACCCCTGGGCTGCGGCCTGCTACTGGGCCTGAGCTGTTCGAAACTGGGCCATGGAAGCGGCGGGCGAGCACACACATGCATCCACACTTGCACAAACAGCAGGCGAGCGTGTGTGCACAATCATGCTCCATTTGCATGAGTGGCAGTTCACATGCCCACCGCTCACGCAAATGGAGCTACATGCATGCACTTGCTGCTTGTGCAGGACTATCCCCTCTTCTCTCCCACCAGTCCACAAAGCTGGAAAGGTTGGGGAAACTCTGTTTTAGAAGAATTCAGATTGCTATAATTAACATGTTGGATCAGTTCTGATGAAACCTGGGTTCAGGTTCATATACAGTCACTGAAGCTCATTGGTTGATTTGGGTCAGGTGGCACGCTCAGTCTTCCAGCTACATTCACAAGTAATTCCTAGCACTTTAACCCCAATCTGGGATTTCCCCACTTTGGGGGAAACTGGGATTTCCCCTACTTTGTCTACCATAGGTTTCCCTCTGCAGTTAATCATTGCTCAGCATCGCATTACGATACAACTAAAAAATGACTTCCAGAACTACTTCATTGAACTCCTAGAATAAGGGGGAAATCTAAATCTATCAACCAAATAAATCAAAGATTAACGGAGAAATGTTTTCAATTGTCTGTGAATTTAAATAAAAATGTTCTTCAGATTTTAATTCTTTTTTTCCCTGCTGCTCTTTCAGATTAACTATCACACTAAGCAGATTTGCCTGGGGGAATCTTCAGAAATTGAAGAAGAATACAAAAAAGCGAAGGGACTGACCGAATGGGCTGGAGGAGGGGGCGGGGGCGGAGGAGCCACCTATGTGTTTCGAGTAAGTGTTCGTGATCTTTTGCAAGCAGTTATTAAGGACCGCTAGCAATTATTTAGCAATAGCTAGCTACGGTTAGCAATATTTAAGGGCCAGTTGAAGCAGCTTCCCATCTGGAGAATATTTAAGCATAAGTGGTACAAACATGATGGAGCTACAGGCAATGGAGAGAGTCATTGCAACAGGGGGATATCAAAGTGTTCATTGCTGAAATGCTTAGCAGCTGATAAATGATATGGCCCTGGATTGAAACCTCCACCATGCAGTCCTAAAACAGCCCAAGACAATTTGAATTATAGAATGACCCCTGAGTTAACATTGTGTCTGTCCCTGCCCTTTTCCTTTTTGTCCTTCCCTTCTGAATCATCTTGAATGGTTTGAATCATTACCATTGCTGTTCAAAAGAATAGAGGCAATTGGTAACATATCCGTTTCATTGGCAAGATTTCCTTCAGAGATTTCTGGGGTGGTTTGCTGAAAACACTGAGGAATGTTCGGTATGGAAATCCCAAAGTTGCTTTTTTTCCAAGTGGCAACTGGACTTTTCTTTGAAGACATTTTGCTTCTCATCCAAGAAGCTTCTTCAGCTCTGATTGGATGGTGGGGAATGGAAGGATTTATACTCCTTGTAGACAACTGGTCATTTGCATTTTTTTTAGCAAGTCATTAAGGCCACCTGGAGGTTTATCTGTGTCCTCAGGGTTACCTGAGTGGTGCAAATGGGTGTGGAACCTTCTTGGAACGGTTGAAGGGACTTCAAAGAAAAACCAGAAAGTCCAATTGCCTCTTGAAAAAAAAGCACTTTTGGGACAACCATGACCTGGATGACTGAGAATCTTCATAGATGTTCAGTATGGAACTTTAGTGTCTTTAACGTTGTTAGAGTTCCCCAGGCAGAGATAATATTTTAAGCCACATCAGACAATTGTTGGTCCCACAACAGCTGAGAGGCCATCGCTTTTCCTGGTCCTTCCTAAACTTTGCTCGAGAGAGCTTGAAATTACGTGACTCGGCCCTCCTGATTTTAGAGGCAGGCGTAAGACGGTTCAAGAGTTACTGCCAACGCTGCTTGCCTCTTGGGCCAAAGAATGTCAGCTATTCCAGTCAGAGTTTTTATTTCTGTTTGGGGTTTTGTTTTGTTTGGTGCTTGACTTTGAACCTTCGATGTTTCCTTAATGCTTCCTTGTGTTTGTGTGTGTGTGTATGTGTGTGTGTGATTTCTTGAGCAGCAGAAGGATGGAGCTTTTGAACCTTTGCTTGTTGCGGCAGGGGGTGGAGGAAAAGCTTATCTGAAGGCGCAGGAGAGCTCCCTGGACGATGCGTTCTTGGAACAGTATGTGAACAGCTCGGCAATACCTGGGGTCAGTGGGAGAACTGGAGCAGCAGGTGAGGATCTGCTCTTGATTAGGGGCCAGCAGCTGAGCAAACAACATCTGTTGAAATTATATAAAGTGAAGATACTTCACAGGAAATGAATTAGCATGACACTTCTATACCGTATGCTAATTTTACATTTATAGATGCAAACTTAGGCCAGTTAGAATTTATTGTCACCTCAGGGGCCTCTCTTGAAAAACTTAAAAGAATACAAAGACAACAGACTGAATGTTAAGCATTTGAAGAATGCTGTATTAAGGCTAAGATTTATTGTGGGTTACAATATGTGCAACTACGTGCATGCCGAATCAATATTTTTCATAACCTGAAAGCTTTTGCAAGAATAGGTATGCTTAGTAGTCTTTAAGATGCTCGTGAGTTCTTTTTATTTTCATGGTCCTTTCCATATCACTCTGAAATTTCCTCTTGGCATTATTTCCAGCTCTTTTCCCAGATTGGTTGCCAACTTTTGTGTTGTGCCCATGAGGGCTTCCAGTTTGCCATTCTTTCTTTGTGAAAATCCTATTGTTTTAGCTGTTCTTAGCTGAAAATTTATCCTATGTTCTTTATACTGTAGGAAACTAAGGTGGTATCCAAGGATGTATACCCCTAATTTTTGCCCCACAGCAAGACCCTGTGAAGTAGGTTGGGTCAAGAGAGAATGACTGGCTCAGTTGCCCCTGAATGTAATGCATAGAAGAAGATTTTCCAGATTAAGTCCAAGGCATTGATTATTCTCCATGTGTAAAACTCTTTTTCAGAGCATTGATATACTCACCCAATTTTTATGTTCTTTGCCACTGTCCTGAAAATTTCTCTCCTCACTGGGCAATTAAACTTAGAAAAAAGCTTCCTTCAGCACCAAAGAAAGCATTTCTTTATCTTGGTGTGAGAAAAAAAAATATTCAGGGGCCATTACAGCACACAGGGAACTAGAGATGAACTCTTCCTTCTCTGTCTGAAAATTCCTCACATTAGATTGCAAGGAAATTTAGAAAAATAACTTCTTAAAGTTGTGTTTATTTCCCTGTACTTTATTATCCTTGGTAATGTGCAGTTTAGCTTGCTACATTGAGATTTTCTGAGGCTTGTAGCACTGGGGAAAGATGATTGACCTTGACCAGCATAACAGAAGTTGTCCAAAACAGGAATTAAGCTTTAAAAAATGTTCTTGGACTTTTGGAAGTAGATTCAAGGAATGGACCTTTTGGATGCTTGGCAATCTTCATGATTGTTGGTGTTTGGCACTGGAAATTAGAGGAACAACTAGGCCCACTATATCTATATTATAAAATCCAATTGATTGTGAAATGGCATCAGACACATATCCACACTCATATACAGATATCAAATAAAAAACTTTTTAGTGCCCTTAGTGGTCATTCAGATATTTGCAGCCTAGATGTAGTAGCCCTAAGGAACAATAGCCATACCTAAAAGTTTCATGGACTATAGAGGTAATCCATGAAAATTTTAGGCATGGAAATAAATAAATTGGGTAAGATTTGGAAAACTAAGTTAAAAATAATTATATACATATCACACACACACACACACACACACACATATAATATAGTTTACATTTCTATAATATATATAATGTGTGTGTGAGGGATATGTGTGTGAGAGAGAGTGGGGGAAAGGGAGAGGGAGACAGAGAGAGAGAGAGAGAGAGAACAAACATTATAGAAATGTAAACTATATTTTTTTCATTTCTGTAATGGTATCAGTTGCAAGCAACCCGCTCCACATATGAAAAGTTCAATTGATTATTATATTATATTCTACCTATAATACAAGACTCTCCCCAAACTGCCTGACTTCTCTTGGGACAGATAAGGCCCCATGGAACTTAGGAGAGGTCAGCCCTAGGTCTCCTGCAGCTGCACAAGGACTCAAGGCTAATTTCCCACTTGATCCCTCCTTCTTGCCTGGTTCTCCAACAAATGGAATCCCATAATTTATGGCACAGAAATTGTACAATAGCAAAATATTGGAAATAGGTTATAGATGTTTACATTAATGTTTATTGATTTGCTTTTAAAGTATATGTATTTGTATCTATTTGTGAGTTCTAACTGATGTGTAATTTCTATCTGTGAATATCATTATCTTTCTCTTCACATTGTATAGGTGGAGGTGGTGGTTGGGAAGGTATTACCCAGTTTCCCTGGGCTGGAAAATCACTTCTGGAAGGTGGAGAAGGTGGTGAGGCCTGCCAACAAGCATTAGAGAAACTCCAGTGGGCTACTTCTGGTGGTTTTGGTGGTGGAGGAGGAGCTTGTACATCTGGTGGTGGAGGAGGAGGCTACAAAGGTATAAAGTTTAGTTTATATCAAGTCGAACCTTCATTTTGTTCCAAAATTATTGTGTGGCTCCATGTCCAGGACATCCATAGTAAAAATAAATGGAAAATGTTATATCTAGAAAACATAATTTCAAATTATCTTATCAACCTGCATAATATTATCTATCTGTACAAATGTAGTTCTCATCATTGATAGTGTCGAAGTAAATAGTGTATACTTGCATTCATAGCCAATGTATTTTCTATTTCTGATAAACTGTTAGGAGTATATTCCCAGTAATGTTTTATCATTTGAGAAAATCAAACCCATAAAAAAATTGAGGGTGTAGCAAATCTAAATATGTATTGTCACATTTGTCCAGGAACTCAAATAGTACATTTAGAATGAAGAGACAACATTCTACTAAAATCTATTCTGAACCATAGAATAAGAACCATTTCCAGCAAATTTCAGGAGAAAAAAAATCAGCAGTGTGATCTCAGTACAAAAATTCTAAGATTGAAATTTAAAGAGTTTAGTTTGGATCACTTGAGAACTAGACAAGCTATGGATCCTTGTAGCCTGCTAAATATGTCTCTTTGTCCTTTTTGTAGGTGGACATGCTTCTGAAACAGATGACATTACAGCTGATGGGCAGCATGGTGAATCCTTTGTGAATCCAATTGGGGAGATCTTCTTGAGCCCTTTGGCAGGTCAGATATAGTCCCACAGTGAGATGTACCTTATCATTTATCTTGTTCCTCAAGTATATTGATCTATTCACATGTTCCTTTTGCATCAACTCTTAGGACAAAGGGAGGATTATGGAGATTAGGGGAAGCATAGAGATTCAACACCACATAAGAACAATGCCATTTATCTGTGAACTCTACTTATATCAATACAATGGAATCATTTTTGATGGCATTATCCCAACAGATTAAAAATGCTTTCAGTTCTTCTGACACATTATTATGTCGCAGCATGCTTGAAGCTCAAATTCAGTCACCCCAGAAGCTGCTTATGAAGCTTTGTGCCAATGTGGCAGGTCTGATGGCAGCACGGGCTGGCATGCATGAATATTCCAGAATTTGAATTATTTTCCATAGTAAATATATTTTCCCAGGTTGAAAAAATACATTTTTTAAATTTAATAAAAATAAGGTAGAATTCCATACTTAATGACTAAAAGATTTGTGTATGGCATAAAACATTTTCAATTAGAATCTACGGTACTTTAGAATGCTCTTCAGTTAATGAAACTTACTGCTGTAATTAATAGGTTTATATTTAAGAAGCCACAAGCTTTGTTTTTCCCCCTGTTGAAATCATGGAAAGCCAGTATGGCATGTTGGCTAAGGAATTCTGGGAGCTGAAATTCATACATCTTTACGATGCTGAGGTTGAGCAATGTTATACTACAGCATCTGTGACAGGTGACCAACCGCTCCCTGTTTGACAATTTTTAAATAAAGAGAACTGCCCCACCATGTGGCAGCCTATTCTACTGATTGATAACTTATATAGTCAGTAATCGAAGCAAATGTGTTTGCGTACCATAGTTGTTAGTTCTGCATTGAAATAATATTCTTCTGTAGCCTTCAAGATGTGTGCTTATTATTTATCAGATAGTCGACAAAAGATACTTACAATTGGAAAAAATATACAGATAGAAGATCTACTGAGGAAATGTCCCTTCTTCCTTAGCATAATACACCTGTATTAGAGATGCGCTTTTTAGAGATGCGCTTTTCAGAAACTATAATTTCCATCCTTTCCTTCTTTTCCTCCTTTAGTTATGGAAAGTCACGGTGAAGTAGTCATTGAAGTCTATGTGAATTGCAGCCATTGCCAATCAGGTATCTGCAAACAAGAGCCTGGCAGTCACCTACCTGTCTGTATTTGTTCAGCAGGGGCCATCTTGGCTAATGACAACGTTTCCTGCACAGGTAAAATATGAAAAAGGGTTTGCAAATAAAATGTTCTATTTCTTGTTCTATTTTCCCAAGCTTCACCAGGGTCAGATCAAAAAAGCAATGACCAGTCATCCTTTTTCCTAAGGAATGCCTCTAAAATTATACACTAAACTATTCGTTTTGTTTTATTTATGTTTTGTTGTATGCGTTTATTTATTATCAATTAATTTAATTTAAATGGAAAGTTATCTCAACAAATGACTGTGTTTTTATTTATAACCCGCCTTTATTATTTTTACAAATAACTCAAGGCAGTGAACATATCCAGCACACCTTCCTATTTTCCCCACAAAAACAAACCTTGTGAGGTGAATTGGACTGAGAGAGTGTGTGATTCTGTATTATTGCATTCTAATTGTTGTAAGCTACTTGTGGCTCTGAAAAGGTAGCATCTAAATTTTAAAAGTAACAAGTATTAATAGCAAATCGATCTTTACTATATTTCTTTAAAAACATGTGGTAAAACTATGTAGTTTAAAGATCCCTTGGCAGCCCCATTAAACTAAACATCCCAGGATTTGAGGGTGAACAGTGAGGTTACTGCTCATAATTTCTGCATTATGTGCTTTTCTCCAGTCTATGAAGCAGTATTAAAATATGCTGCTATATTTTTCACTGGTCTGTTGCTAAGCTGTTTTGTCCTTGCAACCAGGATACCTATTAGTGTTCTCCTCAAATCTTTAATCTGGAACATTTAAGGGAAGAAATTATTGAACTCTTGTAGTATCACCTGCCAGCAGGAAAAAGGCAACCAGTCACTGCTTTTAATGGAACAGGCAAATTTTGATACTTGGTTAGACCAACAACTCCTGGAAGCTCATCTGCTTTATTGGGCAGGACTCACCAGCTGTAATATTCAGTGGTGGGATTCAAATCATTTAACAACCGGGTCTCTGCCCTAATGATTTCTTCCGACAACCAGTTTGCCAAACTGCTCTCCTGAACCGGTTCTCCTGAAGTGGTACGAACTGGCTGAATCCCACCACTGGTAATATTGCCTCCCCTCTCCCTCCCTTCCCACCCCCTTTCTTGCCAGCCCTGCCAGTTGGAAGGGACCTTAGAGGTCTTCTAGTCCAACTCCCTATTCAAGCAGGAGACCTTATACCACTGCAGATAAGTGGCTGTCCAGTCTTTTCTTAAAAACCTCCAGTGATGGAGCATCCACAACTTCTGAAGGCAAGCTATTCCACTGGTCAATTGTTCTCACTGTCAGAAAATTTCTGTTTTTTTCTAGTTCGCTTCTCTCCTTGATTAGTTTCCATCCATTGTTTCTTGTCTTGCCTTCTAGTGCTTTGGAAAATAAGTTGACCCCCTCTTCTGTGTGACAGCCTCTCCGATTTTGGAACACTGCTATCATGTCACCCCTAGTCCTTCTTTTCCTTAAACTAGACAAACCCAATTTTATTAATTTATTATAAAATAATATAGTATAATAAATAATTATTTATTATAATTAATTTATAAATTAATTTATATTATTGTTAGTTCATCTACAGCCCATGCTTTTCCTCTACATTATATCTAGTAATTTGGGAACACATTTTTGCCCCCAGTCTTTCTCCTTTCAGTTTTCTATCACAAGGAATTGCCCACATTCTGTTTATGAACTTCTTAGACGTTAGGGTGGAAAGGAATGGCTGGACTAGACTCTTGCTCTGTGCTTGGGCTTTTTAAGAAACCCTGTTTAAAGCCCTAAACTTGAAATCTGAATGCTGACATCTCATGTTTTCTCTAGTTATCCGGGAACCAATTCCAGAAGAGCGTTTGCCTCTCCCATTCCTCTTGACAGTGATTTCTGTGATTGTGGTGCTTGTTATGATTCTCACTTGTGGTAGCCTATCAATTGGTAAGTTGCATCCGCTATGTTTTGTGCACATCTGAATTCATGTGTTCACATCTTTTCAAGGATTTATGTAGGATCTTGGGAAGGAAAGTTGAAAAACTAGAGATGGTCTGTAAAACAGTGCTTTGGATCCAGATTAGTATGTAATAATGTTTTGTTTGTGTTGGAGGATGGGAGTTGGGGTTATGGGGCAATTTTGTAGATTTTTCCTTCCTGTACAGATTGTTGTAGCTTCTTGAAAAGTTTCTTCAGAGGATCATCAGAAACACAATGGAGGTGAACACTTCAAAGGAGCATGATCAGCTTGCTTTCTTCACACGGAGCTGCAGTCTCATTGAACTATTTGATTTGAAAAAATAAATCACGGAAAAAGAATTCCTAAAAACACTAAACTGATTGAGCAAAGATACACATAGATTTATATATTAAACTTTTTATATGAAACAAGGGAATAGAATAATTGAAAGCATGTGAAGTTTCCTGATGTGTCCAGAGTTTGTTAGTGTGAATAGGACAGTTGTAACATTAGCCGACTGAGTTGGCTATTTAAAGCACTATGTTAAGTATCATGGAAGGACAGAAAATGGCTAATTATTTCCTTTGTAATTTCTACATTTTCATTATAAGAGATTATACTAATGGGATTTCCTGTTTTATATGCCAAAATAATTGGCTTCGTATCCTATGCATTTTGATTTGGATCCAGGAGGTGTTATTTATTGCATCATGCAGCGGGTGATAAAAGAATTGCCTTGTTTTTTATTTTAATATTATAAAATGTCCAGTGAATCAAGGTGATACTTTATTTTTCCATTTGGATGAATGTCATTCAAAACCATTTGAAGAAACTTGGCTTAATTTGTCAGCTAATCCAAAGAGATTCAACATTTCAGTGGACATAGACTTCAGTAAGACAACAGCTGTGTTATATAATATTTGTGTCTGTGTCTCTTTCTCTCTGTCTTTGTATATTTCACACTGATGAGTTTTTCATCTTACAGTCTTTTTTTTTTTATGAGTAAGGGAAATAATTCAGTCCATCTGTAGTTAAAATCTCATCTTTGGCTTTCAAGCCTAGGCAACTGTTTTAAAAGAGCTTTCTGATTAAATAAGCAAACATGCTTTTCTTCTATGTGAAAGGAGCTACTTAATGCTTAAATCCATATGCAGCCATGTATGTATTTCTGTGTGGTATATTTAATCCACCATCTGCTTCACGGTCCCCTTTCAAGTCACCCCTGAGAGTTGTGTTTGCAAAGGCTAAATGTTGAGTACAATTTTTTTTTTAATTTCCTGAATTTTTTGCTTCACCCTGAGAGGAAAAGGCTTGTATTTTGAAGCTTGCCATTGTACCGTAGGATACCAATTTCTTAAGCAACTATGAATCCACAGTTTGCTATAGACTTGGAATTGGGTTATTCGTTTCACCCATATGACTATATCTGCTCTTGACAAGGTCACAGTCTAAAAATGTTTGTATGTTGCCTGATCAGTTAAAAAAGCTAACTTGTAATTCTGCAGAAAATATAGTAACAAAAATTAAAAATATTAACAAAGAGAAGTAAGCCTAAAACATTTGAGACAGGCGTTCTGGAATATCATTATATTTGTTGTTCACATGGTTTAATTTCTTCTCTTTTCTTCTCAGATTCTCATTCATGTTTTCTTTTCAGTTTATCATCGAAAGAAAAAGATGCTAGAGGGAACCAGAGCCCATCTGCAGAATCCAGATTATAACCTAAGCAAAATCCGTACTTCTACCATCATGACAGATTATAACCCCAACTACAGTTTTGCAGGAAAGACAGCCTCTCTCAGTGAACTTAAAGAGATTCCACGAAAGAATATTTCTCTACTTCAGTAAGATTTAGCTGCACTGTGTTCTTGCTAGCATTTGGACACACCAGGGGTGGGAACCGGCTTTACTACCGGTTCTCTTTGTGCGCGTGCTTCGCCGCTTCACTCGCATGCGTGCCAAACTTGCGCTTTGCGTAAGCGTGTTGCGAATCTGCCCAGCTGAGGTGTGGCAATCCGCTCTGCCGCACCTCTCAGCTGGGCAAAAAAAGAAGAAATATAAGGTCGGAATAACGTGGGGGCGGGCGGGAGGGCCCAGCTCCTGAAGAAAGAGAACCGGTTCGGTGACGTAATAGTGTTGCCGCTACCGGCTCAGCCGAACCGGGCCGAACCAGGAGCAACCCACCACTGGGACACACGCTTATAATTGTGGTGCAGGAAAGAAAACCTGAGTTAAGTTAGAGAGCTCTAAATCCAAGCAATTGTTTTGTTGGAAAATGCTAATGTATAGTCAAAAGTGTTTTCTTGGTGTAGATATGAGAAGTGTCCAAAGTAACTGAATGTATGGTGTTTTCTTTCTCCCTCCCTTTAGGGAACTTGGACATGGAGCATTTGGTGAAGTTTACCAAGGAACAGTGGTAGGAATTACAGGAGATTCCAGTCCTCTACAGGTGGCTATCAAGGTTAGTGTCTTCAGCTAATGTTAGCTGACTTTGACTCTTGATAACTTCATGGACACATCCATGTTGTTGGATACCTATTGCCTTCTTCTGGGATTTTTCAAAACTTTCTAATGTAGCCTTTAGTCATCAGATTTCATGGAGAATGTCTTATCCAGGAACCAACCATATCTGATCCTGCTTAGTTTTTTCAAGATTAATCACAATTAGCTAGACAGTACTATCTATCGTCACAACTAATGATACATTCTTTTTGTTTTCTTTATTTCTGAAATGTTATCTGATGCGCCATTATGACAAACAGCTGAGCAGTTTTCAGCAGGGCCTGAAAGGTAATGAGGAAGCAGTATGCTCCGCTCCATATTTGAGTAGACCAGGTTGCCCTGATAGAAAAAAAACACTTAATCTAAGCATTTTACAAAGAACCATAGCACCAAAAAGCAATAGGCACTTTCCTAAACAGTTAAAAGAACAGAAGCAATTGAAACTGATGAGTATGTTTGTTAAAAAGTATGGATAAGCAGGGCATGCTTAGTCTGACATCAAAAAGATATAAAAAGTAATGCCAATGAATAGTTTAAAGAGGATATTTCCAAATCAGGATGGCATCACCAAAAGATTCTCTCTATTCCCACTCAGCTCTGTTTCCCCCCGTTAATTACTCAAACAATCTCCTATATCAACAATGAACTAAAGAGCCACCGTCAGTGAGTTGTTGGATAGCATTACTTGATCTGTTGTGTGGATGTTTGGATGATTAAGGGGTGGGGAATTTATGGTGGGTGGGGTGTGTTTGGGGATTGTTATGTGTGTTGGGCCTGGTCTTCGGGTGTTAAGTGAATTTCATTGTATGAATGTGTACTGTGTATAAACGTACAATGACAATAAAAAAAAGTTAAACTATATTTGTACCGCTGTGCTCTGAATTGGAAGGTAAATGGTGTCAGATAATGAGTATCTCTATATGTTATATCTTTCATATTAGAGGCACTTGGTTGACATCACTTCTATAATCATGTTTTCAGGATTTGTTTTAAATGGTTTATTTAAACCATTGGGTTTCGATTGGGTTTCAATTTTGTTAGTTTTCAGGGTGAGAAGTAGTGTAAAATTAAACACAACCAAAGTGTTGTTTTAATAAACAAGAGTTCTGCCTTCCCGTTTTCTCCTGCTAGTAATCTTCCTTTGCAATGGATTCATGTTTTTCCTTTTCATTTCAACAGACATTGCCAGAAATCTCCTCAGAGCAGGATGAGATGGATTTCCTAATGGAAGCACTGATAATCAGGTGCGTTTTAAAACTTTCTTCTTAGACAGGATTGTAAGTTAACATGATGAACAAGACATAACTAAAAACCTGTCTCTAGAGACTTAATTTGAATTTCATTTAAAAAGAAAGTAATAAGGTATGCATTATATAAATCACTTATCCCTATTTCTGTTCCAGAAACTGCCAGTTGGTAGTAGAGCGTTAAGAGTGTTTCTATAGAAATTCTAACTTTACAGTGTCCCGAAAGAAGCTAGTGAGCTGCTGAAATCTAGTTTTATATATTGACAGTGCAATTCAGACTTACACTTATTGAAAGTATGTACATACTGAGGACATCCGATGGGGACATGGAAAATTACATATATCTAAAGGAGTAGAGGCAGCATTGCGGTGAAATTGGTGACCAGATAGGTTTTTTCTGGCCAGCCAAACCTCTCTGGGTAACATTGGAAAAGGCTGTTGTTTTGACTTCTTTAAAAAAAACATGATAGAACAATTTGAATTTAGGACACTACAGGAAACCAAAAGGAAATAAAGATTACAATTAAAGAGGAAGAATATTTAATTTGTCTTACATAGAATGGAGCAAAATACTTTAATATTGGATGTGTTGGAGAATATTTTTGAATACAGGACCCAGAAATTAATTTTAGGAATATCTGCCTCTATAGATAAACTATGTTTAAAGGATGTTATGGAAGAGGAACAAGTTTTACTGGACAAGATTGAAACCAATCTGAAAATGGATTCAAAAATGACAAGCTGTAAGAATAATATGGAAAAAGATACTATACGGGATTTGCAAATGAAACCAGCTAATGTCTTAATAATTACAAGGGATACACAAAAGGCAAACCAAAAGAATGATTTGGATGACTCTCCTGTAGTGGATTTACAGAAGAGACTTTTCAAAGTTCTGAAGGATTTGTGAAAAGGGACAAAGAAAAAATGAAAAATGAAAAATGAAAAGTAAACAAAATCTAGGACATGGTTTGAAGGGATTAAAGATCAAGACTGTTAAAAAAATAAAAGGAAGGAATATAAAGTGGATTTGTTTCATCAAAGTTAAAACTGATGTCTTGTTATTTCTGATCATCCTTCATGGATTTTGGTTGAATGAGGAAGTTTGAAGCTTCTGTTTATAGATAAAATATAGAGTGAAGAGATTATCTGCTGTATTTTAAGAGAAGGTGATAAATTCTTAAAATTGTTTATACTTTTGTGATGGGGAAGTCCTACTTTATATACTATCTTTTCTTTTTCTTTTTTTTGTTATACTTTCACTGTTATACTTTTACTGTTTTCTGTTCTATTTTTTTTCTCTCTCTGCACATTTCATTTTTTCATTTCATTTTGTTTTTTTGTAATTTGTATTAGTTTTTATTGTACTACTGCAATCTTCAGTACAATTATTATTAAAAATCAAAATATGTACGTATCATATTTTATTTCCAGTACATGACTTTTGGATACTTGGCAAAAGTTGTCTAGTACTGAGAGGTCCAGAGATGACTTCTTAGATATTATCAATATGATCAATGCTAATATATTTCTTTCAAAAAATCTAATGGTGTTCCATTGGGAACTTCAGCCATCCTTAGTAGAGATCCAGCTATGTAATTAGCTGGCTATCTTCTTCCTGTCCTTTTGGATTCATATATCATTATATGGGGAAGTATCATCTGGTTGATTTCATTCCTTCAGGGCTTCATTGAAGTAATTCTCTTAGCAGCCTATAAATAGGTGTCTACATGAGAGTTGCAATATAAAGACAGTGCCAGAACATGAGTCACTCTCAGATAGGCACCATACGGCAGAGAACTATGCTGAATATACTCATGTAAAAGGATTGGACTGGTCAGAACTGAACACCTTCCTTATCTCTACATGTTATTAGTTATATATTTTAATAGATGCCAGTTGCTATTTAATCACTCTGTATTCAGGTCTCCTTTTAAGCACTCGTCACTTCTCGTCTGGACTATTGTAACGCTCTCTACATGGGGCTCCCCTTGGGGTACACCCGGAGGCTCCAACTGGTGCAGAATGCGGCCGCGCGGGGGATTATGGGAGCGACTGGGCGCTCCCATGTGACTCCTCTCCTGCGTGAGCTGCATTGGCTTCCGGTGGACTTCCGGGTGCGCTTCAAGGTGTTGGTGATCACCTTTAAAGCGCTCCATGGCTTAGGGCCAGGGTACTTACAGGACCGCCTTCTGCCACCAATAGCCTCCCACCGGCCAGTTCGCTCCCACAGAGAGGGCTTCCTCAGGGTGCTGTCGGCTAGACAATGCCGGCTGGCGACCCCCAGGAGGAGAGCCTTCTCTGTGGTGGCACCTACCCTTTGGAACAATCTACCCCCAGAGATACGAGTGATCTCCGACCTCCGGACCTTTCGTCGGGCCCTAAAAACTCATCTCTTTCAGTTAGCCGGTCTCTCTTGATTTTATGATTTTATGGTTGGTTTTAAATTTTGATATGGATTTTAAATTGATAAATTTTAAACTATGGGCCAAATTTAATTATTTTAAATCTATTTTTAATTGTATTTATGTATAAATGTTTTTATTTTGGCTGTTCACCGCCCTGAGTCTGAAAGGAGAAGGGCGGTATAGAAATTCGAATAATAAATAAATAAATAAATTGGGCTCAGGATTCAGTAGGTGCCCTTTTTGTTTGTTTGTTTGTTTTTTATTGGATTTATATACCGTCCTACTCCCGAAGGACTCAGGGCGGTGAACAGCCACAGAATAAAACACATAAATACAAAAATTTAAAATAGAATAAAAACGAATTAAATAATTTGGCTGAGAGAAATTTAAAATACCCAATAATTTAAAAACAAATTAAAATTTACATTTAAAAGGGGAAAAGATTTAGGCCAGGCCAGCTTGATGAAATAAAAAAATCTTGAGCGCGCGATATATGTTTTGTTGCCAATATTAAATATTTTGCCACTGCTTTCTTCTAAGATTTTTTTTAACTTCCCAATTCCTGATTGTCTTGTATCCAGATATTATCTATATGTGACCTTGCTCAGCTTTTCAATGTCATTCTGGTCAGATAGATCTTCTCCATCTAGGCAGTGTTATTTCTCTGGCGCTTATGGTATGAAGGAATAGTCAGAAAATAAACACTACTATTATCCAGCGCTCCTGCCCATCATGCTGACTGGGAATTGTTGGATCTATAGCCCAACATATCTTCAGGATCTGGCGATAGTATTTCCAATTAAAATTGGATAATAGAGTGAAAAAAAGAAGTGCTTCAGCATCCTAGGAGAACCCGAAGACTGAGTTGATTCTTCATGATAGGCAGTTTCAACATTGTATTCCACACACACCCACGCACTTTTTTTTATATAGAAATGAGACACACCTTAGGAAAATTTCAGCAGGTTTCTGCACATCAGAAAAGTACCTTGATTTATAGCTAGAAGCTGATTTAATTGCTATCTGCCTCTCCCTAAATGCTTGGCATGAAAAACATTCCTAGAGCCATTTGTAAGAGATTGCTTCTCTCTTCCGCTCCAATAAGTGGCTGAGACCCAACCAGAAATGACTGTATCCCTCCCAAACTGAAGGACCTCTGATGGCCACTTGTGTATGTTTGCATTTTTTAAAATCCATCTGCCCAATGGATACTTCCAAATATGTTCTTATGGTTAGCTATTTCCATCTTTCAAGAGAATGAGACATTACCCAATTAAGTGGCAATGGAATATTTCTTTAATTACTCCATGCTGAGCAAGTGTAGCGTGTGTTAATAAGAAAAAATTAATACTTTTTAAAGTTCCTGAGTTGAATTACAAATTCCTAAGACTAGAATATAGAGGATGCATTTATTGAAAACAGGCCATGACAGCTGGAAGGAAGGGAAGCATCAGAAATCATAACCAAAACAGGATTGGGAAATGAAATTCCTCCTTATGGTCTTTTTTCCCCCTTTGTTTTTCTTAGGACTCTTCTCCCAAAATGTTTCTGACTGTGTCTTTGTTAGCTTACATTTTCTTTTCCCTTCTTCACCATCTCTCCAAATAACACTGGTGTATTTCTAGAAGGAATATCTAAGAGCACTTCTAGACAGCTGGTTTCATGTGCTGTCCTGTAGTCCACAAAGTATCCCAGAATAAACTTGATCTGTCCCCATATAATACTGCTTCATGAACAAAGGTCTGAGGGCTGATGTCTTAACAGTTTACTGAGGCAAAAGTTGAGGTGACTGATTGATATGTTACTCTGTTGGCAAGAAAAACTTGCCTGAAAACTTCATCAGTGTGGGCTGGACCAGATGGCTAGAGTGGTGGGTTTAGTAATCTGTTAGAACTTGACCTATGGGGTGGATGGGGAACTTCTGCTTTTGTCTTACTGATAAGACCTGGATTACCTGCAGTGTACCATCTCTGGATTACCATCTCTGGATTACCTGCAGTGCCTGCCTAATTCATGAGGGTAACAGTTTAACAGAGTTGGAAGGGACCTTATAGGTCATCTAGTCCAACCCCCCACTCAAGCAGGAGACCCTACACCATTTCTGACAAATGGCAGTCCAAACTTTTCTTGAAAGTCTCAAGTGATGAAGCTCCCACAACTTCCGAAGGCAAGCTGTTCCACTGGTTGATTGTTCTCACTGTCAGAAAGTTCCTCCTTATTTCCAGGTTGAATCTGTCCTTGATCAGTTTCAATACTTTGTCTCAGCTATCTTTTCATATATTCAATCATCTCTTAGATAACTGGCATTGCACTGTTGTTTAGTTTAAAAGTTTTTGTTTTTGTAAGTCCTGCTTCTTCTTTTCTTGACTTTTTGTGGGTTAGATCTCCATCCTGATTTCCTTTCTATAAGTTGTGTATCAACTATTTGGTTTTCATGCTGATCTATAACTTGATCTTGTTGGTTTTGCTTTTGTGGCTTAAGTCTCCATTCTGGTTTCTTTTCTTTGAGTTGTATGTCAACTGATTGATTTCTATGCTGGTCTGTAACTTGATGAATCATCACATTAGAATCCAAAGCCGCCTCTCTTG